CATAATTGGGTTAAAGATTTAAAATAAACATCAAAGAACAAATACAGATATATTTTTGTTTGGTCAAAATATAAATGTGAGTTTGTTAAGATTTCAAATTAGTTTATTAGATTAGTGGTGTGAAAAACGAAGAAAAGGTAAAATGCATGTGAAGTTATATTAAAATGCACAATGCACATTATGTGAATTTATGTGGGTGCTAATTTCTTTTTTAAGGAGGGTAATCTGCTATTGTTGTATCAAATAATATCTGTCTACTATTAATACGGTACATCAAACTTAGATGGTTCAGCGACCCCGTTGGGACAGACTATTCATAGCCTTTTTGCGCGCTGGTAACCGAATAGGCTTTGGTTGATATTACTGACCTTGATAAGCACTTGTGACGTATTGAAATAGAGAAAATTATTTAGAAAACAATAAACTGTGAAATTAAAAAGAAATCGATTGCAATAAAAAATATGCCGGAAAGATAAATGTTACAGGTTACAGGTAAATAATAAACTATAGGTATTACTTTTGCAATATTGCAATTGAGAATTACTAAAATAAATTTCGGAATGCTATTAGAGCATAGATAATTTATTTATCAATACGTCTTTTTTACCTATGAAGTTGCCGTTTTACAATACTGGTCATTTGAAAGGTAATTTATGTATGGCTGGCGATAAAAGTTTAAATGAATTTATTTTAAAAATATGTATTGTATTTTCAGTCATTTCCTTTTTGATTATTGTTTTGTTTTTACTAAATTTGTATCTTTTTTATCAATATGAACTCGATAACAATACGAGTAATTATGGAATGTTAGTTCCGTCGTCCACAAAGGGCTCACAAACATAATGACATGTACAGAGCGAACACTACAAACTAACGCACAACTCATTCTTGGATTGACGCTTCCGCGATGGAAATTTTAAAATAAAAAATGAGCACCGTGGTCGCCTGAAAATTAAAGTCAACAACGACGAACTAAAGGAGACAGTCGAAGTTGATGATACTCATACTAACGCATACGAGTTTGCAGTGGTTTTCAACTTTAGCGTCAAAACAATAATGATCCACTTCGTCAAAACGTCATCTTAAAAAAACTTGATAAGTACTCGTAGGTGTCGCACGAACTGAATGATCGCCAGCGCGACGAACGCGTTAAGGTATGCCTTGCGTTGCTTAACAGACACAGAAACGAAGGGATTTTGAACGAGATTGTCACTTGCGATGAGAAATGTATACTATTTAATAATAGTAGATGCAGACATCGACTTTTTTCAAAACCTAGGCAACTTCTTGGCAGGAATAAATATCAATACCCGAGAGGTAGTTCAAAATACCTCTGAAGTGTGTGTTAGCTCTCGTACTCTTAACTTGTCCGAGAACGGCATTGAAATTATTACCTCTGCGCTGGCAGAGACACATCGCTAAAATGGTTGCATAGTTTGATTGACAGAAATAAAAAAATATTGATAAAAAATGATTTAACTTTAACTTTCTATGTACTGAACAGTAATTTCGTAGGTAAAGGCCTAATATTTCTTATCACATTCACAAGAACGGTTTGTGTATTTTCTCTGTGGTCATTATTTGGTGGTAAATATGCGTGTCAGTGTATCAACATTTTACTACAAAACAATGGCCCGGATATGCTCGATTGTGCTCGATTCTGCTCGATTTTCGATTTTGAATTATGTACTGAAAATATTACGCAAACTGTGATCTCAGTTGTAGCGTAGACAATGATGATTTAATGTTGCTTAACCTGGTAGATGACCTGGTACATATAGTACGGAATTAAAATAATAAAAAAAGTACAAAAACCTCCTGATAAATAACATACGGGAAATATGCTTTAAATAATCATTACTGCTACTCAAATTCCTGAGTCCGATTCGTGAGACTTGGATAATGAAAACACGTGTATAATTTAAAAGATTATCAAAAACGAATTGAAAAACTTTATATCTATCGAAATCTGTAAGAAATGTTTGCATGGCAAACATTTTGACATTATGGTTGTAACGAGCATTTCACGTGGTTCACCTTTTGTGGGAATTAGATTGGCAACTTGACCTTTCACTGCTCACACGTTACAGACGGTTAGAGAAAATGGAACAAATGTTTCATTACAAACATTAATAAAAAATATATTTTTTTGTTGTTTAGTAGTTTGTGTTGTTATTACAACTGAGGTACGGGTTTTGGCCAAACTGTGATGGTTTGTACACGTTGTAGAGCCTCCTAGTGTTGATTTTATTTAATAGGGAAATTGGCTGTATGGTGGGATAACGTGAAGTATAATATTTTTTAGATAAAGTAAATAAAATTTAATTTAACTACCTTCGGTAATACCGTGAGTGATGTACGTTTAGATCATTTGAACCACTTACTAAATGCTGTGATAAATGTTCCACACTCACCAGGACTCCACACTCGTCATACACAGCACTGGCGTTGACCGATGGTGACTCATCGTCGCTCATAGACATCGTCAATGTTCAAATGAAGAGCTTTTATCGCGAGCCTTGAGCCCGGCGACCGAATCATGAAATTCCGTAACGAAAAAAATCTAACACCCCTCACTCCGCCTACCATGTAGCTCGCGTTCAACACATTCACACGTTGCACTTGTGTAGTGTTTGTGAATAAGCGCGTGGCGTGACGTCACACTGCATGCGCGTCATGAAAAGTCTGCCCATCTCTCTCTCACGCGGTCTAGCTTATGACCGTGAAGGGGACAGTTAAGGTTTTGCTTTTATTAGCAAAGCAAAATTATGTTTAATATAGCGTGTTCTTGTTTTATTATTGTTTTAATATTAAATTATCATTGTCTAATTATAATTGCATAAGTTGATAAAAAAAGCTATGCAATAGCTTTACCGCGGCAGTTCCCGAGTGTCACACGTTTTTTATTATTATTTAAATAAACTTTTCAAATATTAGACAAACATTGAGAATAAAAACGTATGAAAACCTACATTTTAGCGCTTCGGTGTCTAAATAGTCGATGAAACGGAACGCACGTCTAGACAAAACTAATTATTATAAAATCACAGATCACTGACCATCGCATTGAATTATTTGGAGTTAAAGTTTCCGTGAAATTGATGTTTTGTATTAAAGCCTTTAGATTTTGTTTTAGGTTGAACAGAAAAAAAAAACTTGATGAGAATTTTGTTGATTCGTCTCTTTGAGGAATTCCGAGTTCTCGAAATTGGTCATTGAACTTTATTTGACATTGAACATTATCAACATAATTCATGAAGTTGTATCGAATTAAGCAGTTAGTTTTATTTACAACATAACACAACATAACAATAACTACCGTCAATCTGATCTGATGAACTTGGAAGGTCGGAAGCGGATTTCTCAACCAGCTACCACCAGAAAACAAATCGAACTAGTACAATTCACTTATTTGGTCTGTAATTTAGTCATAAATATTTTATTATTATTAAAATGTTATACCAAGCATGGCTCGGCAGGAGTTGAAGAGAGGACGGGGTTTCAGACTGGGTATTCATGTATTTTATTGCATACTAGCTGACCCGGCAGACTTCGTAGTGCCTCAATCGATAAATAAAATACCTAAGCTTTTGTATAAAATAAACTTAAAACAAATAAAAGGCATCCGTCCGACGGGGGATACATCAAAGAAAAAACAAAAATGTTATTTTTATTTAATTCCGAGCATTTTCACATTTATCTACATTTTAAACCTTCTCTGGACTTCCACAAATATACCTAATAATTCAAGGCCAAAATTTGCCAAATCGGTCCAGCCGTTCTCGAGTTTTAGACTAACGAACAGCAATTCATTTATATATATATATATAAGATAGGAAATGCAATATACCTATGAAATTAAAAATATTTTAACCTAATTAATTATTCAGTAAAAACACATAAAATACGACATTGACTAATAATTGTACCTTATTCTGTAAGTATAGTCTTAACGTATTTTTACAGTGAGAAATACAAACAAAACTTTACTTTTACTGGTGGTAGGACCTTTTCTGAGTCCGCACGGGTAGGTACCACCACCCCGCCTATTTCGGCCGTGAAGCAGTAATGCGTTTCGGTTTGAAGGGTGGGGCAGCCGTTATAACTATACTTGAGACCTTACGACTTATATCTCAAGGTGGGTGGCGCATTTGCGGATGTCTATGGGCTCCAGTAGCCACTTAACATCAGGTGGGCTGTGAGCTCGTCCACCCATCTAAGCAATAAAAAAAACAGCAATTCTTTTTTATATATATAATAAGATAAGATTTAAGATATGGGTGAACGGTCCACCTGGTGTTAACTGGTTTCCGAAGCCCTTATACATCATAAGGGGTATTTATGTCTCTTGTCTCCTATATTACCTAAGGTTGACATCTCAGGGGTCCGGTTGGTACCTATCTACACAGTAAACATTTATGTTTACTTAAACTAAATATGTTTTACGGGTGCTTATGGTTTTTATACATTTATTGTATAAAGTATACGTATTTTCTGATAAATCAGTTGTGTTTTAAGTTTTATACGTATTGCGCGAAAATAATAATAACGTAGCGATCGGTACTAATAATTGAATTGTTTCGTGATAAGTCAATTTATAACCTTTTGTGTACTGAGAGAATTACGTGGCACTCGTGTTTTCTATTGTCATGAAGTCATGACCTTCAAAAATTGTCTAAAGTATACTAATAACAACTATACTACTACTAAGCTACGAGTATAGCTACTATTTATAAATAGAATACATATTTAGTATAATTATATTATTCTGAAACAGGTTTTTTTTTTCATATTAACCAAAAGACACGACATCAGGTATTCAGTGATTCGCAATCTTTTTTTTTCGCAGCAAACTTATGACGATTTCAAAATTTAACGGCTTACAAACAATAGATATGGTTAAAAGTTGTATATTTACACCTATAAAATACACCTCTGTAGGAATTATTTAATGCATGCTTACATGTGGTGGAATATTGTTAAATAGGTTATAATATTACCGTAACTTTCCACACGAGAAATGTTGTGTGGTCTCGTGGTACAGTCCGGAAGGCTGCGTCCACAACTCGCGTACTCCCACCATCTTCTTCCTGATTAGAACAGAATTAAAATTAAATTAATCACAATTTGTGCTAAAACTTAATACGGGGAACCGAACTACAGTCCATATTTACAGTGTCTTTCCAGAGACCACCATTGAATTACCATGTTCCATTGGGTTCTGCGATAACTACCCTCCACGATTTTTCCTACATGCCCTTTCTAAGCGATGCGGCTTGAAGTTCTCAGTAGCTTGGTGTTGCTCCTGGCATTGCTGATGTCTATGACCAAGGCCGACCATTCACCATCAGTTGTGAGTTTTATATTTCTATGCTCTAAATAAACGGACGAGTTCATGGCCAACTTGGTGGATTGTGGTTAACCAGTGGTTATTGAAGCCCAAAGTTATTCGAATCCCGTCACCTTTGACGTAAGGTCAAAGTTTCAGTTGCATGGCATAATCGCTGTCCCATCTTCATCAGCTTCGCGACAGAACTAGGCAATATAGTGGAAACTCTCCGTCTTGGTTTGTAGCATGCCTAGCTTACAAACTGATTACATACATTTATAAATCGTAATATCGGGTTAAAGTTTTATTACACAATGGAAAAATTAGTGCCTGCTTGCGGGATTAGAAAACCGGGATAGTGACATCGCTCCATACGAATACACTGGGCGTTTTATCCTTTAGACTATGGCAACTTCAAGTCTCTGGAGAAGGATGATTAAGAAGGAGATCTAATTCCGACTAAAATGGTACAGTTTCAAGAAGAACACGTAATAGAATAAAATATGATTTTATTTATGCAAGAATTAACGATATTTATGGAAAATATGAGAATAAAAACATTCATAATTTGGCTGGCTGGCACCATAAAGCTCCTAACATATTACTTTTAATATTTATGTTAAAAAAATAACAAAGTCAATGTATGCTATAATATTACAAAAAAAAGTCACAATTTCAAAACTTTTTTAATCAAAACCATTCTCCACTGAAATCGTTAAGACCTCATGGGAAGGGTGGAATAACAAACGACACGGGAGTGTCCAAGGTTTAAAGGTGTGCTTTGCCTAATATACAGTTGTATGGAAGTAATTCGTTTCTAGGTCACCACCACAATAGATCTTAGGGTGCGGTAAACTAGAAATACCAACAATCAATCTAGATGGATCAAATTTGATTTAATTAAATAGTAGATACTCCTTCTACATGTTTAATTTAAAAGTTTTATTTTTTGTGAAACCGACCGATCGTTCAAATTATTATTTAAATCATTGTTTATTTTTAGAGAGAGAGCAATAATAATTTTAAGTTATATAAAAGTTGAGAAACGAACTAGCGAAGTCGGTTATTTTGGGTCTGAAATTTTACATTAACAAACCGGTATTTTATCATTACTTAATTAATTATAAACTAAACTACAGCTGTCAGGCGTTTTGTTTCTTTACAGATTTTAAGAACTATTGAACTAAAATATGTGGTGTCAGATACAAATAGCTGAAGGATGAAACTCTATTGAATTAACCTAATTGTAGATAAACAAATTTAATGTTAAAAAAATTGTGGGTAGCCAGTAGCATGATTTCAATCCATTTTATTAATAATTCAGTGCTGATGATAAATTTAAATGTACTCAGAATGTTAATAATTGTATAAAAACTAAAATATACGTTATCAATCACCATTCACTTTTTCATTTGAATATTCAAATATGTAAAGAGGCAAATTAGTATTAAATAATAATTGTCATGCAACATCGGATCTAAGAAACCTTTAATTCGAATACTGTATTATTACACTAGTAACCGCGACACTTTCCATTTCCCACACTGTTTGTTTATAAAAATCACGCAATTTATAATTACTTGATCGGCTCCGATTTCCAGAATATGCATTTTCGGTTTTGTTGACTATGATCGGGCTTGTCCCATCACCGCGCTACTCGGTCGGTTCGTACTGCGTTTCGGCGCAAGAACACAGTTAAGTTTGCAAGACGACCGCAACGGTTACAGACTCCTCGCGGACTAACCATAACCACTACACAATACACACAACTGCACACAGAGCATTGGAGAAAAAAAGAAAATTTGTTCACGCTTTGTGCACTAACATATTTTAATCAAAGTTAGAGAGGAATAAATTAATCGCGAAAGTCTGCTCGGTGTGCGTTGGACTCGGCTCTGGGGCTGTATCGTGTTTTCATCTTATCTTCCGAACGTTGGATGAACATCTTAATTATTTTCAATTAATTATCGATTTTTTTTAATTAGGTTTTTTTTTTAAAATCTACAATTTATTAGCTTGATTCTGGTATTAAATTCAAATTTTTAGTTTTAACGAAAACTCAAATGTTTTTTTTTTAATTCATAAAATAAGTAATAAATACAACCTGAAATTCATCTATCATTGATGCTTAATCAACAGAACTTCCGTAATAACATTAAACGCGCGAGATAAGTCAAAGGTTTCACACGCGGGCCATTAGACTGGCCGGCAGCTTAACCGCGTCTGGCACTGTATCTAATTTTCCATACACACTTGCAAAAGCACCTGGGACGTATGTTGATGTGCAGGAATTACGGTTCGACGCCCACTTTGTTTCGATGTTTTTCACGTTCACTTTCGTCGAGCATTCGGTCACGCTGAGATTTTGCACGGGCATAAAATAATTGGGAGCATGTCAACCAATTCGTTTTTAAATACCCCGTCAAAATACGTTATACGTTATACAGTACATACATTATGAAGTCATTTTTTAAAACAAGCATTAACTACAATTAAATGACAATATCTCGATCCTTTGCTTAAATTGGAATTTTCTCTTATGTCCATATTATTATTAAAATATTATTATAACTTTAGAACGAATTCAGAAGTATTTCATTTAATCACTAAGATTGTAGGAACAAACCTGACAACAAAAAACACATCACCTATTAGCTACCTATCTATTAGTAGTATGTTTAATAGCTAACTTATTAGAGCTAATTAGAGTAGCTGAAAAGTGTCTTATATTTTCTATTCCAAGAAATAAGAAACCATTAAGTGATTCATCATTCATTGTTTTTTCAACAAATAAATCTGTATTGTTTCGCTACCTACTGCAGAAGTTAGTCGTCCCAGATATGCGGACCGTTATACGGCTATTGATGTAGGTACGAGCCAGTCTGTATCAAACTAGAATTGTTTGAAACAGGAACCAACTCCAAAACAAGAAAATTCTCCATTCGGTGTTATAATGTTTGGTACCTTAGAAGTACGTAATTTATAATTCGGTCCGGAAAAAAATATTTTTGTTTGAAATAGTTCAATGGTTGGTTTTTAAATCAAAATAACGACAAAAATTATGTAATAAAAGCTAACGAGAATGTATTTTCCTTTTTAGTGCGTTTGATTCATATATCTCAGAGACGTGTGGCCTAAAGGTTAAGCCTGTTGTACTCAGATCGAGCGATGCGGCTAGGCCGCTGCTCAAATCCTGAAGGCAGGTACCAATTTTTCTGCAGAAATGCTTACTTATCCTATGTTTACGAATGGCTGACTATACGATGAAAGAATAACATCCTGTAATAAAAATCAAACCCGTGAAAATGTAATTTGCGTAGATAATTACTATATAAGTAATTGAGACTTCGTACTAATTTCTCAAGGTTAATAATAATTGTTTTTTTTTAATAATTTTGTATTTTACGCCATCTTAATTTTATTAGATGATAGGTATATTGAAGGTATAGTCATGGAACTCGTGAAAGGATGGGATGCATGTAATAAATAAGATTTGTAGATCAGCAGAAAGTTTTTGAATTAACACTATTTTTAAAAAAACCTCCGTTAATGCACTTTTGACGTATGTTCGCTTCAAACTAGTCATAGTGACACAACATAGGGTGTGAAACTATTTTCAAAGAGTTCGTTTTCTTGATAATTTTATTAATAAATTTGTATGAAGTATATTACTAATCAATCAGTAACGTAATGTATACAGACACCGATGATATATCTGACAGGGAAAGCGAGTATGAGGAAAGGAGTCCCGAAGACAGTCCGAAAGTTACAAAGAAATCTTTGTCGACCGTTGGTTTTCGTAGTAGCCCCGAAAATTTAAATAACAAGCCCATGGCACTGCGAGCTACTCAATCGTTTACCGGGGCAATAGAGGAATTGAAGGCGAATTTTCAAATTAATCTTTGCGACCGAGTAACTCCCATAAAAGTCACCACTGTATGCCCTTGCGGATGTCTACTAAGGCCTTGCGGCAACGGACCTTTTCGGACCAGAGAAAAAAATACTTTAGCTCTTCACGTGGTTTCCCCCGAGGTCCTAAACTATCACGGCTACAGTTTCGAGCCCAATCAAATCGCTATGTTCTGGAAAAAAGATTGCAGGAAATTTCTTTGGAAAGGGAAATCAAAAGTTAGCTCTTAGTATGTTCAGTTATGCAAAATGTTTGAAAATTTACAGTAAAGATTTCGTATTAATAAAAGATTATTTAAGATATACTATTTATTTTTAACTTAATCGAAATAACTTAAAGTTCTAGTTCATTTCACTGCAGAGTTTGTACTGTTTCTAAAGGTTGCTTTTCGACTCCTGGCATACAAGATTCAGGTACTTCTCCGCAAGAGAATCTAACGTAGTCAATGATTTCTACGTTGTGTTTCTGTAAGATTTCCTCAATCGTATAGGATGGATCGAGCAAGTATTCCTGGAAAATAAGACATGTTTCATCATCTGAGTTCTTAGCTGGTTTGTCTTTTTCTTTGTCACCGATTTTTGTGGGTGCACAGCCGACGATGTGTTGGCATAGTTGCCGGCCGATGTCTTCTACGTCGTTTGGCTGTTTGTAAGCGAGCAGGGCCCCATATTTTCCAGAGGAATAATCACTAGCACTGCTAGGCGCTGGATGGGTGTAGCCTGCGATCTTGACATCCTCGCTGTTCGCTTTCCAGCACTCGGCACGCCTCAGCACTGCATTTTCACCGACAGAGCCAATAAAGAGTGCCAATATTTCAGACAATTTTTTTCCACCTTCTGCATGTAGTGTCCCAAGCTGCTCACTGTCTAGCTCCATCTGAAATTTGATTATATCTGTTACTGTTATAGTATATGATAAGGTGATGGTTGACATTTCTTCATAAAATAAATAAGCAAGTTATAGGATAGAGTTAAGACGATTTTTTTATTAGAATAAATGAGAAAATAGCCGTTGAAAGAAATACCATAATAATTTTAAGTACTTTTTACATTACTTTCGATCAGTATAGTAGTAATGTTACAGTTACATTTGTCAATTATTTCCCACTGCCAATGATGTAGTGAAGAGTGGGAGGAACACTGGGGCGTTATAAAATCATAAACACTTACTTTTGTTATAGGTCCCTTAGCTTGCAGTTTAGTATGAGCGAATTTGAATGAGGCTATAGCTGCATCTTCAATCGTTTTCTGAAACTTGTCGTTCTTGGCCACAAAATCAGTTTCACAGTTGAGTTCCACCAGAGCACCATGGTTCTTGTCAAATTTAACAGCTACCAATCCCTGGAGGGCCGTCCTGCCAGCTAATTTAGTTGCCTTTGCCCATCCCATTGCTTGGGCTTGTTCATGGAGCCATGTCTCAGCCTAGAGATACATTTTTTTTAAATAAAGAATAATAGAAGTGCCATTTTAACTTATAAATATTATTTTTGTCTTGGTTTATATTGTATTATCTGCATAAAGATGAGTAAGAGTATTTTAATCAAAAACATAAACTGGACAGGCCAGCATTTTTTTTTCTTCTTTTGAACGAGTGTTTGAAAACAGTAATTTGAGTGGTTGTTATAGTTCCATAATCACTATTCCATGTTAAATTTACATAAAATCTTTTAAAGGAACCAATTTCCCACAATGGAATCCTGTCAGTTGGTTTGTATCGTTTAGTTAGTTATAGAAATCAGTATTAATGATAATAATAAAATCAGATACCTTATCTGCATCATTATTATGCATTTCTAATGCTTTCTTGCAATTAGCGATTGTGTAGCCCGTTTTTTTCCGGAGTTTAGCAAGCAGTGAAGATTCAGCTGCTTTATACACTGGACTTGTATGAATTCTTCGAATCAGCTGGAAAATCATCTGGAAAATTCATTATAAACTTAAGTTGTATCTCAAATCAAAAGTATCAAAAAGTTTTAATCATAAAGTACATATTTATGTATCCTTTTTGTAAGTGTATCCATTTTTAAATTATTGTTACAATATAATATCTCTATTATGAATTGATACAAAATATCACAAATGTACTGATAGAATGTACTGTAGAATTTGCGATTTATCTGATTTTTACATTTTTGTTTGTACCTTGATTCATCATTAAACAAAAACTACATTTATGTTGATGAAGCTTTTAGTGTTTATATTTGTTCCAGAAATTATACGAATACCTATTAATTTTCATGATTTTATTCTGTCTATTTTCACGTTAGTATGAATATGCTCAGTTGTGAAAAAGTAGAGCATTTTCAAGTCAATTTATTCTGAAATTATGTGATTAAATTTAAAACTGGGGTGTATTTACTGTTATAATGAAAAGAAATAGCTAGATTTCCACAAAAGTAAATGTTTTTATAAGCACATGCAGTGTGTCAATATAATTTGAGCATACAGAATTTATTGCAGTTGTAAAACTAGTGAATTTTACAAAAATCTAAAAAATTCAATGTTTATTCGCTCTGATAACAAGAAGTAATTAAATTTTATATTGAATTAAAAAAACTCTACAAGAAAATGTTGAGTGGTGAATTTAGAATTATATATTGTTGCTAATATAATAATATGTTTTGGTTTGGCTATTATAAGCAGGTATATACATTTAAATACTACAAACTAAAGTTTCAAACGATATTTGAGATACAAATCAAACTGACGAAATAAAATGTATTGTGTACCTAAAACACAATTTTTAGGATTAATAAAGTTATTCCTTAATTTAATTAATTTAATATTAAGGTTATAAAATCAATCTCAGCAATTAAAATAGTTAAGTTACATTAAACTGAACTATTGTAACACCAATGTCTGTGTTAAATAACAAACCCACAAAATTCTGAGTAAAAAGCATTGAAATTACATACAACTAAGTATTAATGAGTTCAATACAAAATATAGCTTTCATTCTATTTAGAATTATAATAAAATAATAATTAGACTCACAAAAACACATTACACAGTAGTAAATCTTTTTTATGTTAGGTTTATTTATTTGTAATGCTAAGTTGCACTCATGTTGTAACACTGTACTCTGTTCTCAGTTCTGATTATAGTAACCCAAATACTTTACTATAAATTGATGGAGCTATGACATCATTATGATAGAGTAAGACAGACATAGCATTGTTAGCATGATCAAGGCTAAATCAAGTTGTTCTTTGAATTTGTATTAAAAGCCGTGAATTTTATGAATTAGCAATGTTTGTGGTTTATAATGCATACCTTGGAGTATGTTTGTACTTTTTGCTTCATTCACCACAGAATAACCTAAAATATCGAAATTAAGAAAATAGGCAACTGTCAATTTTATTATACTTTTAGTGAAAATAGTGGAGTAAAACCCCTTTGATGAAAATGCATAGACTTTCATTACCAAGGTCTAATACTGACCAGCAAATAATGAAAAATTAATGTTGTCATGGAGAAATCAATAGTATGACGGTTACCATGATAATTCATTGTTGATAATAAGAAGTGTCGCAAACGGTACTGTACTTATTAAATGGTCTAGTTCTAATTAAAAAATCGTATGAAATAGTGTAAGTGTTTCTAAGATAACCAATTATTAAAGGAACCAATGGATTGTAATTAAAGTATTACCAACCTTATAGGTCACAGTGTTTTTAATTTTATCGTGTATGTACACTTTTTATTTTAAAAATTTATTGAATTTTCATTAATTCAACACAGTGTCTGGGTTTTTCTTTTCATTTATTCAGATTTCAGATTCAGATTTCATATAATCACATTAACCCAGTACAGCTGTTCTATCTGTCAAAAAACCAAATTGTTTTGTTCTTGCTATGTCTGCAGTAAATTATAGCACAGTCCGCCGTTATTATTATGTCATTAAAATTATATAATAAAAATGTAAGAAATAAAACAAAGTGGAACATTGAAGATTGAAGATTCGAAATTATAAAATGATTTATTCCATTATTTTGCATGATTATCACTATTATTAATTTTCATGTTAACTTTTTATTATCATTTCGTCTATTAATAATATAGTAGTAGTGTAATTCATAAAGTAAATCATAACCGAAACAAATTTCATAAAACACATGTGCTGTTTAGTAAGAAGAACCAAACGCACTGAGCGCGCCAAATTCAAACGTTATTACTATACAGAACTAACTTAACACTTAGCTACATATAATTGCTTAAAATTTTATCAATCGACACACGTGTCGATACAGAAAGCAAAAGAGATTAATATGGTTTTATTATGGCTGTTGAGACAACAACGACCACTATTTATACAGTTATTTATAAAATGAAACTTATGTCGGGGTTAATTTCAGATGAATTTCAGATGTCATCGTTACTATTATATAGATTGCTACTCGAAATTAATTAAAATACATGACTTTCTTCCCTTAAAATGTTTAGCAATAATGCAATAGAGGGAATTGTAGATATTGGATGCGCTAGTTTTGTATAAATAATTTATAATTATTTAAAAATGGCAAGGTTCAATATGTAAAGATTATTGCAATAAAACGACTTGTTTTAATTTCTCATTTCAGAACTTTACTAACAATGCAAAGAAACAATAAGCCCACTCGTAAGAAAAGCCTGACACCTCCATCCTCTACCGATGTTAAACTCCCAAAAATACCAAAGATAAAAATGCCTGAGGATTTCAAAATTAGAACGCGGCCTCTATTCTCTTTGCCAGAAGAAGTTTTAAAATTGCCACCACCCCCTAAAAAGACTTCTAAAACTCAAGCTGGTAGATCAGGTCCGCGGAGGAATTCTAGTGGTAATCTGTTTATAATAACTGACGAAACATAGCTTAATATTATGTTTTTTTCAAGGCAATTTTGTTAATATTGATTGTAGTAATGCAAAGTTTCACCGCGATGCGGAAAGCGAGGGAGGACTTCAGAGCTAAGTTGATTGGTCTTATTTGTCAATCGACACCGGGTGAAGATGGCGACAAAGACGTGATTCCATCGGCAGAAGAAAAAAATATGCTTCGTTATTATTATTACTTACGATATGGCATCGATACTATTCACGTGGCCCCTCTGGATAATAAAATAATTTTGCGGTTTGTATTGTCGTATTTTTAATGTTATTTCTTAATAGCATTATATACTTAGATATTTACCTATAAATAGGCAAAAACAAAATAGTTATGTATTCTTTGTCAACCTTCTTTTTCCTTTTTGGTTTAGTAGCCATTGGTGAACTGTCTTGTAAAAAAAATTGGAATATTCTTTTTTTTAAATATTTTTCAAAACAAAAGAGTAAATATAATTCAGAATTTAAACATGTAGGGGGCATCGATTATCGTCGAATAGATCGAACACTAGTTTTACTAAATAGATTAGATTTAATTTTTTGCAACCGGTTATGTACACCGATGTACACCATAGTAGAAGGTATTTTAAATAAAATTCTTACTTAGTTGATATTTTGAGGAGTGCCAGTTCATTTTCACTCGTACTAACACTGTGATGCTAAAATAGGTAATGAAAGGCATAATAATATGTTTTTTGTAATAAAAGTAGATCAAATATGTCACTTTTCAAATCACCGAACTATAACTTATGTCTCAATAAATTATAATTGATGGGGCGTATTGTGAGCCCGGAAATGTAAGTTACATCATTTTGTCTATTTCTGCTGTAAAACAGTTAGGATCCCAGCATGATGGAAGCGGTTAAACGGTGTTAATGAGACTTCGACCTCTTGTCACGTAATGGAGGGGGGAACTTACAAAAAGTCGACGGTCCCTGGTAATTACTTAATACTAGCTAAGTTTACAAAGTCTATGGCTATATACAGATTAATAAAAAACTAAACGCGCTTTCGCATTTCATATTACTATAATTTGATTTAACTAAAGAATATACATATGCAGGTTTTATTATGTACTCATTAGTATTTGTATGCTATCATTTCAGGGTGCATAACTTGATACCCTTGAAATTGAAAAAATGGAAAGAGACTTTATTCACCTGTACGGATGAAATGCGCGAAGACTTCATGATGAGCATGAAGAAAGCAATCGTTGATTTCGTCCTAAAGGACCCAAATACGGTTGCTATTTTTTTATCTTGTCCCATTATACATTTTTATATTCGTTGCCAAACGTACACACTATGGAGGGTGGAGGTATGGAGAATTGCGATTAAATACGCGGGGCAAGTTGAATAAGTGTGCAGCTATAAGTCACAAATTATTATTAACTGATCGAAATAGCGCTAGTGTAGCCAATATGATATGAATGTAGCAGTTATAAACGAAGGGAAGTGTGCTGAGTTGAAAAAAAACCTATTATGTTTTGACGCTATCATTAAAATTGCACCACTTGCTACGGTGGCGCCATCCTAATTGGTCGCTTCTCAACGAACACTTTTTATACACAGAGAGATTGCTCTTTACCTCTACTCTGCATAGTATAACACTATTAGGTTGGCTAAAACGATCCTGGTCTGATTATGCTTATAGAACAGCAAACTTATTACCGGTAAACTTAACTCTTACGTAATGTTGACTTGTGGATGAACGAGTTCCTAGAGTGCCTGCCTGGGTAAGTGGTTACCGAAGCCCATAGACGTGACGTGAATGCTGCATTCTATGTACTTATGATACATGAATGTTAATTTAAATTGAAAACTGGCATAGATAATTTAATGTTTAAGATAATGGGTCAATCTAAAAAAAAGGCTTCTTTCGCGGCAGAAATAAACTTAGAATACGCCCTACCGCGTGTGTTGCACATTATTCTGATGTAAGTTGGCAGTGAGACTAATCAACATTAAGCCAATAATTTTTTTAGTCAGTTTGGGCTTGCGCTATACTGCGCTGGACCTACGCTTTGACAGACAAAACAAAAAATGTGTTGCGATACGAATCGTCGCATCTTTTGATACGCTTTGTTTTAACCTTAACACAGCCGGGCTCAGGCGATACGCGCTGATTCGTTTTTAGTTCTGTCAGTTCTGTGGACGGAATTCTATTTATTTTGCTTGCATTTAGAATTGTATCCGTACTGTCTCTCTTGCACATTAGTCCTAATTTAACTAGCAAGTGGTCGTTTTAAACAAAACATGTTTTGTTTTGAGAGCTACTTGGCGCCAATCAGGATTCGATATTGGCTAGCCACCCCTAGATCGAAGACTGCGCCACAAGTACAAGAAGTTGAAGTCGTCATGGCCTAAGGGATAAGACGTCCGGTGCATTCGTATCTAGATCGATGCACCGGTGTTCGAATCCCGCAGGCGGGTACCAACTTTTCTAATGAAATACGTACTTAACAAAAATGTTCTTGATTACCACGGTGAGGAAATAACATCGTGTAATAAAAATCAAACCCGAAAATGTATAATTTGTGTAATTACTGGTGGTAGTACGTCTCGTGAGTCCGCACGGGTAGGTACCACCACCCCGCCTATTTCTGCCGAGAAGCGTGTTCTGTGTAATGCGTTTCGGTTTGAATGTGAATGTGTTTGAATGTGTCTATGTAATGCGTTTCGGTGTGAAGGGTGGGGCAGATGTTATACTGTACTGAGACCTTAGAACTCATATCTCAAGGTGAGTGGCGGTATTTATGTTGTAGTAGATATGGGCTCCGGTAACCACATAACGTCAGGTAGCCGTGAGCTCGTCCACCAACCTAAGCAATAAAAAAAGGCTAATATACTCTGCGCTAGTACAGGAGTATTGGAACCGTTTCGTTTTGGTTTGGGTAGTAATTTCATGTCATTTCGAAGCCTAAATGCCATTATGCCCAAAATTGTCAAAGTAATTGTTTTAAGACCGAATTTTAACCAATGGCTCCGTTACAGGAGGAATCTTTAGAGGAAGAAGACACTCCGCTTAAACAAGAATTGGCTATGAAAGACGACGCTTGGCGGAATCGTTATGCGGTCGCCAAGAAATACCTCACCAAGAACTTACATAGCGTCAATCCTTGTATCGCCCAGGTTCTGCAAATATGGTGGAAACAGTTCAAGTAATTATTATTACTGTTGTAGCTTTTAAATGTTGATATAATTTACATTAATTTTTTAAGTTTGCTATCGCTATGGTCATCTTGTCAAACGAAATGTATTTTTGGTATAACAGCAACTGAAATCAATTACGATCAAAATTATTTTATGTTGACCCGTATAAATTGAAATACAAAATTTTGAAAAATTCAAAATGTGATCCTGAATTATGTCATATTGTTGTATCGACGATGCTATCCAGCAAGCTATAGGAGCTCTCCACTCGCTTACCGGAGTGATAAGTGGTTACCTTACCGGACTTCATAAAAATGTCTAACGGGAATGTCATCAAGCGATCTGCGCAACATATTTTACATTTGAAATGAATTTTGTGTTGTATTTCTATGTATAATGCTCACAGTTTTCCAACTGCTACTTGAATGTCAACTCTGTAATTATCAGAATTGGAAAGAATGGGAGAATTAATTTGGCCAATTAGTTAAAGATACTACTGTTTCAGACCGATGCACCATACGTAGATATGTGTATATGTTGAGATTTCCAGTTTCCAATTTTTGTACCAACTGATTTCGTAAAAATTTATCGAATTAAAAACCGCCACAAAGAAATGTCCGTTTTCAATCGTTATAAATATTTTTTGTGTTTATGTATTTGTTTATTATTTTATAATCTAGCGACCTCAGACTCATTAGTATGAAGGATATCATGACTACGAACGAAGCCTACGAGCTGCAAGATTTTTGTTTTGTGTGCAAGAGACACATCGAGGCAGCCGGGAACGTTCTCACCCACCAATGGATACCGACTTTACAAGCAGTCTTCCTTCAAGTAAGGGGAATCGGGAAATGTCTCTTTTCAGAAACAGTTTTCGCGTGTCGTAGACGTAATTTATCTTTTATCTATCTATATATATAAAAATGAATTGCTGTTCGTTAGTCTCGCTAAAACTCGAGAACGGCTGGATCGATTTGGCTAATTTTGGTCTTGAATTATTTGTGGAAGTCCAGAGAGGGTTTAAAAGGTATATAAACATGAAAATGCTTGGAATTAAATAAAAATAAAAATTTCGTTTTTCCTTTGATGCGTCCTTCGTCGGACGGATTCCTTTTGTTTGTTTTAAGTTTATTTTATACAAAAGTTTAGGTCTTTTATTTATAGATTGAGGCACTACGAAGTCTGCCGGGTCAGCTAGTTAATAATAAATACTTGCACGGTTTTACTTTTACCATATTTTGCATGCTTCACCGTTCTCGTCGTCCGTGACCACTGCAACTGTATAGTATTTGAAAGGGCTTCAATAATATATAGACACGATTAAACTGTAAAATTAATTAATTTTTAATTGTGTCTTTGCTAAGCGAATTCAAAGATGGAGGAGTTTCTCAATTCAACTGTTTTTGTGTTAATGTCGTCTTTAAAGAAACTGATCTAGTGTAACCTGTAAGATAGCGTTTAGGTGATCTAGATTAGATTAATATATGGTGTTTTTGATGTTGAATACAAAAAAAAGATTTTTTAAGTTTAGTTTTGTAATAAAATTGACGATTTATCGTTTTCAGGGTAACAAAAAAAAGTTGATAGCGGATCCGAAGCAAGCCGCAAAAATGAAGCGCTTCTACAGTTGCCTGGCTTGTATCATGACGTTCAATCTGCAAACATTGTGTCTCAAATCTATGAAGGAGTTTACTGATTACATCATGGACGTCGGGGTGAGAAATCGTCATTAATTTACTTTTTTCTCTTCAAATCGGGATGTCTACGTATCTAAGTTGATTAATCTAAATTATGATTATTATCATAGAAATGGAATGTACTGGAATGGAACGTAACAAATAGCCTTAAATTTTTAGGAATCTATTGATACTTCAATGAGCTTTTTGAACCTTGTAGAGTAATGTCCTATGAATGACTTTAATTCTTTTACGTTTTCATACATCATTCTTTCTTCTTTCAAGTTTTTTAATCCACCTTTATTATGTTTAAATCTGAAGCACCAGTAATATTACTTTTAAATAAAATACATAAATTAAATATTAAAAATCATAAAAAAATAAAAAAATAAAAAATTATAATGATATATAAATATTAAAAATCACAATTATTCATTTTATATTTTAATTAATTTAAATGAATAAAAATTTATATTTATTAAAATAAATTAAAAATTATTAATAATTCACATCTCGTTTTCATATTCGCTTATCTTAAGAAAAGCATAAGGTACTTAAGTATAAGTATGTAATTTAATAGATTTAATTTGAACAATTACTAGCATGTACGTGATTGATATTGGTAACTTGAAGCTTTCAAGTTTCACAATTGAGCCGATACGAGTGTCGCTTTTACGCTTGTAATCGAACTAGGCGACATGTTAAGTGACTGTTAACAGTACTATTGAACATACTTTCATGTTATAGTACGTAGATACTATACTATATGTAACTGGGATAAATTAAAACAAAGGTTGTACGTACGTGCCCAGTATCGATCTTGAGGCCTCTGTTAATATGCAAGCTTCCCGCCACTCGATCATGTCAACACATTTAATATGAAAAACAAGTTTTGTTTTAGGGCACGAACCAAGGTTTCGTGATAAACCTGGCCTTTCAAAATGACGCTATAGAGTTCGAGCCATCCTTCAAGCAGTTCCGTGATCAACTTTGTCTTTTATACGACTTTCTCATAGACGCCTGTAGACAATCACCTCGCTTGGAGACCATGCTGTATCAAGACTACGTTTGTAGTGGTCGATCCACGTTAAAGGTATTAGAGTGAAGGCCAAGGCTTTAGTTAAATTTTATGAGTGAAACGTCGCCTTTAGATGGATGTGGTAATGTAGAATTACCGACATCGTGACTTGAGTTTGTCGCCGGATCTTCTCAGCGGGTTGCGATACCGATCCAATGGTTAGATTCAGTAAATCATTGGTCTCGCTAGGGCTCGCGTTAGCAAAGTCCAAGGCTGAGCCCCGTGAGTTCGCCTACACGTTCGATAAAGCCAACATAACCCATCGACGTTACTAGCAATAAATAGGAAAAAAAATAGGAATGCTCAAAATAGGAATGTTCGAGTTAATTAGTAGAATAGGGCTTATCTTGCTTTGTAAATTATAATGTATTCTTCTTTTGTGACATATTATATCGTTTCAGTGTTGGTATTACCCTGTACGAGATGAACGCACTTTATTTATTTCTCTTTATCCCGTCAAGTAGCACCCCTATAGAATATTCTTGCACTTGTTATTGTACGAGACAGCCCTATATCATACATATACATATCAAAACTCATAGATACAAGAATATGAATACCGCTGTTCACGTAGACACGTAAGACGCCTCTCAATTGCATTGGTATATATATAAAGAGCGCTTGGATAAAAAGTTGCTGGGCTGTCAGTAAAAGAGTTATAGTCTGAGAGCAATATTCCTTTGAAAGGGTAGGCTTGGGACTAGCAAGTCAGGATAAGAGTAGGTACATATAATTTGTACTGTATTGTCCATGCAATTTGGTAGCTTACTGTATCTGCCTTTAAGAACTATATTCGGAGAACTGTTATATTGCAGTTAAAAAATAAACTGATCAATAAATTTTCCATTACATAATAAAAAACTTGATAGAGAGCGAGAGAGAGAAAGAGAGAGTATTCTGTATTGTACACAATATGAATAAACAATGCGAAATTTTATATACATAAAAAAGTACAAAGCTTTCTAGTATCAGTATCTAGTATCAGAGAAATATTCATTTTAATAAATCAAATCATTCTGTGTATTTGTAGCCCATTATAGATAATGATTTAGTCGACGATTACAAAGCGGATGTTGCTGACTTGATTAGCGAACAGAGAATAGGACCCGAGCTGAGGGTCCAAGATTTTGATGACTACGTCTGTTTGCTAAATGGGGATGTAAGTATATCCGCTGTAAAGGAGATCAGAGATAGTAAAATTTTGGTTTTCAAATAAATTTACAATGTTTTTATTGAATGATCTTATAGTCCCATATCGCAGATGCGAATTATATTCCACAGGCTCTTTCTGAAGTAGAAGAATTCATAAATTCACGTCCAGAAAAAACTTTCGAAGAATATTGTGAAGAATCGGTGAAATATGTCGAATTAGCTAAAGAGATCCCTTCAAAACTGGAAGGGACAATTGTAATTGGCATGTTCCGAATGCAAAGAGGCGATTTGATCAATTCTCTTAGAGGAGCTGCCACTAGGCTCTCCAACACGCTATTGAGGAGAATGACTGAGGATTATCAAAATATGATAAAAGCGTAAGATTAGATAATTTTATTCATATGAAAAGTAAAGTTTTGGATCGAAGTTCCTTATGGTAATGAACAGTGTACGACTTAACTTTGTAATAACGTACAAAAAATAGCATATTTTTATCATTCATTGACCACGATCTCAGAGCGTTCGTTTGCGCAATACACTAACTCTTATGCAAACAACCGTGAATGAAGTGTACCACAATAAGTTCGCACGTTACCGAATGACCGTGGGTTGTTGCGAAACCTCCAGTTCTATTATCTTTATACCTCGAATAGAACTTAAAATTAATATTTTTATAATGAGGAACTTCGTTCCTATCTGGTGTCCCACGACACCACACACCTTTTTTTAAAATATATTTATTAATGGTGTATTTTTAGCATTTTCGACGAGTATTCTTCAATAGCCAACACGTTACTCACACCGCCCACAGACACGGCTGCATTAATGGAACTTATTGCGTATTGCAAGAAAGTCGAAGATTTGATTCTTGCAGAGATGGAGGATAAATTACGTAACGTGATGAGATACATAATGTTTCTGGGCGACTATACTACTTTCACGCCTTTAGAGATGAAAGCCAATAATCAATCTTACCATTGGTACGTGTCTATGAATGGTTTGTACATATAATCACAGCGTAATTAATTGATTAATTGATTAATATCTGTCCTATGTTCAGGTACTCTCGCATGCCTTCAATTATAGAGGAATGTAAAATAATATGCGATCAAAAGAAGATCGAGTATCAAGAGCTGTTGAAGGTAGTGTCTAGAACATTCCACATAATTTAAAATTTGTAATGTTGTAACAATGCTTTTTAATCTGTTCAATAATTTAGGTGCGCATTGCGAAGTTTATCGACGATTTGGTTATTTACGAGACTCAATGCAACGAATTACAATATTGGGGTGATATCAATGAACTACCCAAATACGTTACACGCGCAAGGCATTTAGATGAAAAGTCAGTAATATTTTTTTTTCTGATATTCGTCACAGTATAAAGAGAGATAATTCAAGATATTAAGATCAAAATTACGTTTAATAAAATGCATTTTCAGACTAGCACTGGCACTGGTTAAGATAGATCAGTTTAATGAAGAAGAAACATCATTTGGTTGGGAGCTATCGCAATATCCAAAGCGCAAAGCAATCTATGACAGATTGGTGCCATTTAAGAAGCTATATGACGCTGGATTTGAATTTTTGGAGAAACACAATAATTGGATGAAATCAAGGGTAACTAGTGTTGATCTAATTAAAATAAATATTGAAGTTAAATGAAAAGATGAACAGTGTTTTTGAAAAGAGATTAATACTTTGACTTAACTCATAAAACTTTGTCTCGCGTATTAAAATTTAACTATAAAATGCGTAACTATTGTACTATGCGTAATTATGAAATATTTGAGATATAGACATCAAGTCTTAAGGTACATGGCGGCATTCACGTTGTTCTGTCTGTGGGCGCCGGTAACCACTTAGTATCAGGTTGTTCGTGACCTCGTTCGTTTACCTGTCTACCCAATAAATAAAAAACGTAGTCCCAAAATAGAACCATTTTCTATAACGATCATACGATGATGCTAATGAACAAAATTACCGGAATTTTGTCTTAAATCGTTCGAAATTTGTAAAAATACCTTGACAAATATTATGATTAAAAATAGTCTTGATATCTTATGAAGGTTGGCAGCTATGATCCAGAGGATATAGAAGGCGATGTTGGATACTTCTATAAAATAGTTTACAAATTGGAAAAATCCTTCCAAGATGTTCCAGAAACTTATCGTCTTGCCGCGTCTGTGAGGTTGTATTACTTAATAACTATTAATTACTTTAATATAATTTTAGTTATTTGTAATTATGTTATTTAACTACGCAATTTGCAGAGAAAAGATGGACAGTTTCAAAACAAATCTACCTATTATACAAACTTTGGGTAACCCTGGTATGAAGCCCAGGCACTGGGAGAAGATATCCGACATCGTTGGCTTCCCAATAGTAGTCGACGATGAATTATCTTTAGAAAAAGTTATAGATTTCAATCTTGTTGACTATATCGAGAAATTCGAGACTATATCTGAAGCAGCCACTAAAGAAAATAATCTGGAAAAAGCACTGGATAAGATGATGAAGGAATGGGCTGACTTGAAGTTCGATATTCTTCCTTACAAGTAAGTTGAGTTAATAGAAAACAAGGGTTCAGAGAGTTATGAGCGTCTGTGGCATCTATGGAAGTTGCAGGGCGTATTCCAAGTCATTGCGACTTTCTTATTACCAATTCTGTGTTTACCATCTGCTTACATTAACTCCATGTAGATAGATCGTTTGTCCGTCTAGAGTAAAAATAATATATTTTGCCGCTAAGTGTACACGATTAAGTGTAATGAATTAAACTAAATATTTATTTACTTTATTTTGCCTGTTTCTGCGGCGAAGCTATGATGCGTTCTGTTTAAAGCCCCTTTCCAGAATCCAATTTAGATATTAGCCTTATTTCTAATTGTGGATGAGGGCATTTATTTAGGTTGTGATTTATTTATTCTTGTTTCTTTTGCTTAGATGGGAGGTTGAGCTCACAGCCCACCAGGTGTTAAGTGGTCACCGGAGCCCATAGGCATCAACAACGTAAATGCCACCACCCACTTGAGAAATAAGTTTCAAATCTCCGTTTTTTCAGTATAGTTTTACAGTGATGTCTAAGGACTCCAGTAACCATTTAAAATCAGGACTCTAGCTTGCCTAAGGTCATGTGTCATGATGATACAGATGTATATGGACATCAGGGTTATCTGTGGACGAGCTCACTTGTGTGCATGTACCTAATAATATTACTAAAAAAAAACATAATCCATGTTTTCCAGAGATACGGGAACTTATATTTTGTCAAGCGTAGATGAAATACAACTGCTTCTGGACGATCACATCGTGAAGACTCAGACAATGAAGAACTCTCCATACATAAAGCCGTTTGAAGACATTATTTAGTAAGAAGGGTTTTATTGAAATATAATCTAAATAGTTTTACGATTTACTTTTTATCACACTTCTTCTAATTTGTGCAATAGCGACTGGGAAGGGAAACTCGTTTTGCTTCAAGAGATTTTGGACGAATGGTTAAAAGTTCAAGCGACGTGGATGTATCTGGAACCTATATTCTCATCACCTGATATACAACAACAAATACCCGAGGAAGGAAGACGATTCAGCGCCGTTGATAAGGTAAAGGACCAATTGGTTTCCTTTCAAGGCGTGTAGATATTTTTAAATTAATTTATGAATTGAATGAAGAGATAATTGGTATGAGGAAATAAAGTCTCTGTTATTTAGATGTGGCGTGAAATAATGAAAGCAGCATCCACCGAGCCGAGAGTACTGGATGTGATCATGATAGAGAAGATGTTGGACCGCCTGAAGAAGTCGAACAGCTTGTTGGAGATGGTGCAAAGAGGACTTAACGCGTATTTGGAGAAGAAGCGTTTGTACTTCCCGCGATTCTTCTTCCTGTCCAACGACGAGCTGCTCGAGATACTCTCGGAAACGAAAGATCCTATGCGGTAATACCAAGTCTTTACCATTTCATTGGATGTGAATCCGTCATGTGACGAATGTCTTTGGTCTGGTTTTCTTTGTGTCAGTTTTGATGTGAAACATTTATAGTAGCGGGTCAGACCGACTGTTGGCGTGGCGACGTCAATGTAGTATGAAACATCTAATACGGTCGGGAATTTTTTGTATTGTTAAATGAATATATTTAAATGGACATATTTTGCATGCAAAAAGATCTAATTTTTTTCCTACCTAATCTGATGACCTTGAGAAGCCGTTTCATCGTAACCCTAACAAGTAGGTGAGCTCACGGGGCTCAAACTTGACGACGTTGCTAATACTAACCCTAGCTAGAGTAGTGCCTCGCAGAATCTACCACCGGATCGGAATCGCGATCCACTCACAGATCCCCCACAGACCCGGCGAGAGACTCAATGGGCCGTGTGGGTTAATTTACTCGCCGAGCCCTTGGTCGTAAGTGACGGGTTCGACGAGAACGATGGCCGAGTTATTTTCTATTATGCTATATTTATTTCCTATCGTAAATCACTCTGTTATACATATTTCCTGTACAAAATAATTCCGATGTTAAACATATGCCAGTTGTCCCACGACGGCTCACAATTTCTTTTAAAGTATCTATCACATTAGCATTGGATCGTCTTATCATATTTCATTACTAGATGACGTTTTACGTTATTTTATTCAGAGTACAACCACACCTGAAGAAATGCTTCGAGGGCATAGCCAAGTTGACGTTCACCGAGGACATGGTGGTGACCCACATGAAGTCGTCGGAGGGCGAGATAGTGCCGCTCACGGTCACCATCAACACAGCGGCGGCGCGAGGGCAGGTAAATCTGTGCTCAACGATTATTGTCCCCGGGCATCGCATATCAAATATTTTTAAAATTTGTTATTGCTTATGTAGTGGACGAGGTCACGACCCACCTGGTGTTAAATGGTTACAGGAGCCCATAGACATCTACAACGTAATTCCGCCACCCACCTTGAGATAAGAGTTCTAAGGTCTCCGTTTTTACAGTATAACGGCTGCCTCACCCTTCAAACCGAAACGCATCACTGCTTCACGGTAGAATTAGGCAGGGTGGTGGTACCTACCCGTGCGGACTCACAAGTGGTCTTACCACCAGTCATTACGCACACTATAATTTTGCGGATTTGATTTTTATTACACGATGTAGTTCCTCTACTGTGGAAGTCAATCGTGAACATTTGTTAAGTATTTACTCTTTAGGCCACAATGACTTTGAAGTTGAAGTCGACTAATTTGTTTGTGGGTTTTATTGTTTTATTGCGAATGAATGAAGTCACAATATTATTACTGAACATTAAAAACATGTAATTATTCACACTCATTTTAACACGAATACGTTGTAGCTCTTGACGTAATGCGTAAGATAAGGTCTGATGAGGAAATGAAAGGGCCATAATAGCATGAACTACGTGATTATTTTAATTTATAGTGGATTATACCTATACTAATATTTCAACAGATTGCATTTGTTTCTTTTTATTTCCATAAAGGTGGAGAAATGGTTGCTGGAATTGGAGAAAGCTATGAAATCGTCTGTGCATCACGTTGTCGCGCTCTCGTATGACGACTATTCCCAGGAGCCGCGCGAGAACTGGGTGCTGGTGTGGCCCGGGCAGGCGGTGAGTGACGTCACCAGCATTGTGACGTCGTCAGTATTGTGACGTCACCAGTATTGGGCTTGGCCGCTGCGTCTGTATTAATATATTATACAATTGACATACACTTGTAAATTTATGAATAACAAGGAAAGTTAATACAACACTCATGAGAATAGTTTTCGGCCGTGTTGTACAATTAGAAATAAAAATTACGCTTGGTTTACCTTTTGGTGTACTTCATTTTAAAAGTCGGCACAAATGAAGACATTGGAGTTATTTTGAAAAATGCTCATTAAGTGAGTGACCATGATGCTAAGTTTAGGGAAAACAAACAATGCTATGCAGTTTCTATAGATTGCATGTCATATATGCTGTATTACTATTTATTTATTTTTTGTAACCCTTCAAACCGAAACGCGTTACAGCTTCATGGCATAAATAGTCAGAATGGTGGTACCTACTCTTGCGGACTTGCAAGATGTCCTACCACCAGTAATAATTGTTATAAGCTCTGTTTATATTTCCGTTATGTTAAGTTTTTAGATTGTGCTCTCGTTAATAAGTCTCAACAATATGCTATAGAGGTATTTAGCATGTAATAAACGTGTGACAAACCAATGTAATTTAAAATAGTATATTTTTGTATGGCTATTTATTTTTTTGGTTTATCAATTTAAATAACATAAATAACAGGTCCAATGTATAGCGATGACTTTCTGGACGTCGGAGGTAACCGAAGCCATCCACATCAACATACCGGCCATGAGGGCTTATTGGAATAAATGCAATCACCAGATATCGAAGATAGTCGATTTAGTTCGAGGTGAATTGAGTTTGCAAAACAGGATCACGTTAGGTAAGCCGATAAGCTTTCTGTGTTGTTTGTATTTGTATTGCCTAGGTTGCTCGCGGAATGAGTGGTTGGTAGCGAAATGAATCTCGGAAACGGCTCCAACGATTTTCATAAAATTTAATATACAGGGGATTTCGGGGGCCATAAATCGATCTAGCTACGAATTATTTTCAGAAAATGTTGTTTTATTCGTGTTTTCAATAATCAACTTTACCCGACATCTATTGGCGAATAATAATACTATTTTTCTTAATTGAGGGCAAATAACCGCTTTAAAGACACAACAAGATGGCGTTATCAAAAAAAAAAACCGAACATCATCTAGTAATTTAAATCCGTGACCTGGCCCCCTAAGAGCTAGGGGTCCCACCCGTTTTGTGCGGGGAGGGACCCAGACGAGGGGTGGCGTGCTCTGCACGCTCACCCGCAATAGGAAGCCGGGTGATGGTAGGCCGCGTTCCCCCGACCGCTCTGGGGGAAGGTGTAACGCGGCGCCATCAAAGCGGGCTCTCGGCCCGCTGAACGAGGGAACCGGTGGTCGTTTCGCTGGCGGCCACCGGTCCGGCGTCCGTGGGACGGTGGGATGGATGTAATGTGCTCTGCGTCAACCCTGTCCCGCCGTTTCAATAGCCCCGACTGGGCTCCGGCCCGNCCAGGTGCGTTGGTTGTGCTAGACGTGCACGCCAGAGACGTGCTGATGTTGTTGATTGAATGTAAGGTGCAACAAGATAACGATTTCAATTGGCTCTCTCAGATAAGATATTATTGGGAGGTGAGCGTCGCTCATGTTTAGCTAATTAGTAATATAAGTTGTCCGAATGAGTGTACCAGGCTCATGATAAATCGGGAGAAGTGGCGATTGCTTGTGAGCGCATAACACCTGCCCACAGCAATGATACTGAATGACAAACGCTCTGATAAGGGTGATACGACAAAGGAGGAGAATTTAAGTTTCAATTCCAGAGAAAGTATTCCTTTATGGACTTTGATTGAGATTTTTTATTTTTTATTTTGTGTCCTCAACAGCTCTACTATGAGGTGTTTTAGGATTATCCTTTTTTTGGGACACCCTGTATGTGCATCGCTTGGAAAGTTGGTATAGATTTTATTCTACTTTTCTTGGGGTTTGGATTTACACAAGATAGGCGACGTCATTTTCAATGGATGACCAATGAATTTGTTTTGCAAATCTACGGTTAATTACCAAAAGGACAACAACAAAGAACTTTAACGATGAATCGCTAAGAAGTGCTAATGATTTTGTGAAATGTATTGTGCACTGGTGTAGGTGCAAGACGATAACACAATGCAAGTGGCAACACGCATGATCAACTCCCAGCTGATGTACGGGTACGAGTACCTCGGCAACACGGGCCGGCTGGTCGTGACGCCGCTCACGGATCGGTGCTTCAGGACTCTGTTCGGAGCTTTACATCTCAACTTGGGTAAGCTTAGGGCGACTTTAAATAACAGAAAAGGGCTTATGATTTAAAATTAAAGTTTTGTCTCTTTTTTATTTCGTTTAATTTATTATAACAAGTTAAATATCGTTACCTGTAATTAGTGTAGTGGCAAATGGTTTTAGGGAGAAGCTTGGCTGGACTCCTGGCCATATACTTGTCTGCCTGTAATTGCAAAAAAAGAATAATAAAATGTTTAGAAAAACAAAAAATATTTGATTTTGTATCATCTCAATCAATACGTGTTTTATTTTATTTTCAATAAAAATGAGTTGCAGTTACAAGTTGTATCTGTTATGTATTATTCATCGAGAGCAGGATAGGTGGACTTTTTGCTTGTACGCAAGAAAAATATAGAACGTAAATAAAACTATTGATTCAAACTCTTTATTTGTAATATAATTAATCATTTTAATGATGTAATAGGTTTCATGTATATTTTAAAGGAGAACAAAAAGAGTGAATTGCCTTCAGGTGGAGCACCCGAGGGTCCCGCCGGTACAGGCAAAACTGAAACTACCAAAGACCTGGCCAAGGCTGTGGCGAAACAGTGTGTAGTCTTCAACTGTTCTGACGGACTCGACTATATTGCCCTCGGGAAATTCTTTAAGGTATTCCATACGGCAGACACTATAATAAATGTTATCTTTACGATTCATGACATTTGACGATTGATGATTTAGAGTTATCCTTAATGAGTATGAGTATGGTATACAGCTATATGCTGTTAGTTAACTGTTAGTTAATAGTTATTTGAAAATTTTATCGAGTTATATAATATTGATGGTATATCAATAAATAATAAACATTGCGATATACGTACGTGAAATAATTTTATCGAAAATAGGAATCTTAAGGATTATAATTTTATTAAGGATTATAATTTTTGATGAAATAATTATACGTACATATGTGTAAAATCATCTGCTGAGAGTATAAAAGAACTATTTCTGTTGTTAATGAGGGTGATAGCACTAATTTTGTAGATTAAGTACCAGTAGCTTAAGTAGTGGGCTTAGTGCGACCAGACATATAAGTAAATTAAAAACATACAATGTTCTTAGGGTTTGGCTTCATGCGGGGCGTGGTCTTGCTTCGACGAGTTCAACCGTATCGACTTGGAAGTGTTGTCTGTGGTCGCACAGCAAATCCTCTCCATCCAGCGCGGCATCAACTCCGGCTCCACCGAACTTCTCTTCGAAGGAACGCTTCTGCAGTTGGACAAGAGCTGTGCTGTTTTCATTACGATGAATCCAGGCTATGCCGGTCGATCGGAACTACCGGATAATCTGAAGGTATATACTAAATGTTCACTTACATTCAATATTTTTAATCAGTTTACCCTAATAGACTTTTATTTTTGTTATTGCTCTTGCAAGCCTACGAGCGTAAGGCCTACCTGATTGTGAGTGGTTATCGTTGCCCATGGACTTCAACAATGCCAGGGGCAGAGTTAAGTCACTGCCTACCGTGAAGTACTCTGCTTAGGCCTCTCTTGAAGAAGGACATGTCATAGCGCTCGGGAAACACCGTGTACCATTCCAAAGCCGGAGGGTACGTGGCAAAAAAGATCTCTATTTTAAACATTGTCTGAACTAGTCTAAATTTCAATACAATTGTTAGAAATCGTTTTGTGAATTTCTGAATTTGTAAATTTTTCTTTGTATTGTACAAATATATCTGCTTTTTGACTGTTTTTTTAATGTTATGTTCTGGTATGCAATAAAGTATATTCTCTCTCTCTCTCTATTTCTATTTCTATCTCTCTCTTTAATGTTGATGTATCCTCAATTATGTACGTTTCAGGCGTTGTTCCGTTCTGTAGCGATGATGGTTCCAGATTACGTACTGATATCCGAGATCGAACTGTACGCGTTTGGTTACCTGAACGCGAAGCCGCTCGCTGTGAAGATAGTTGCCACGTACAGACTGTGCTCGGAGCAGCTCTCCTCGCAGAGCCACTACGATTATGGTATGTTAATGAGCAGTGTACACTACTACCAAATAAACTATACATCGCAAATAGAAATAAAATAGCCTTTCGTATTGGTGAAAAGTTTCAAATACCAGATAGAACCAGTTTTTTTAACCGACTTAAAAAAAAAAAGGAGGCTCTCAATTCGACTGTATGTTTTTTTATGTTTGTTACCTCATAACTTTTGACTGGGTGAATCGATTTTGATGATTCTTTTTTATTAGAAAGATGACGCTTCCCATGTAGTCCCATTTGAATTTAGTTCAGTTCTGATAATGGTATCCATGATAAAACCATATAAGTCTTAAATTTGCATTAAGTACGTGCGCGATAAATAGATGAATAACTCAATATCAAGCCAACCGATTTCGGTGATTATTGTTTTTAGTGCATATTAATTTGTTTTGGAATATCTTTTTTTTTTCTATTTGAAGTCGGTTTTTGTTAAAGCATGTCTATTTAAAATTATTTAAATACTAGTATTTTAATTGAACTTTTTTTTATATTCACCATTTGTCATAATGTAATCGATTTAAAGGCAACGATCGTCAATATTATTGTTCATGAGCGATGATATATATATATGTATTTACAATCAGCCAACTCGTGGGTTTATCTATTTTTAAAAGTAGTAAAAATGAATGCATCGCCTCACATTTAGTGTTAATCAATTATGCCTGACTGAATACATTCTATGTAAAACTGTGACATAGATTAATGTGTGTTATAGATTAATAATGTGTTATAGATTAATTATCTCTTACCCCCGCGGCTTCATCCACGAAGTCAAAGCGTCAATTCATTTTTCTAAAGGGCCACGTAATTTTTTTAAAGATAATACAACATTTTTCCATGGATGTAAGATGTTTTTCAGGATGTCACTATCCTGGCATAAAGCTATATCTTTTTTTAAAAATTCCGTTAATCCGTTCCTCTGTTTCAACGTGGATGTAGGACAAACAAACAAGCACACTTACAGATTTATAATATTAGTATGGATATCAAACGAACCGAGAACACCCGTAGTGAACTTTTGGTTCTGTCTCAAACATATGACTTTAAAGAAGGCTTTCCTGTGACATTTAGGTATGCGTGCCGTGAAATCAGTACTCCGTGCAGCTGGAGCTTTGAAATTACGCTATCCCGATGAAAATGAGGACGTCATATTACTGCGTTCGATTAAAGACGTTAATTTACCGAAGTTTCTGGAACACGATGTTCCATTGTTCATGGTAGGTAATCATAGTTATTGTTTGCATTTGGCATTACCTCATCCAACGATTGGCTTGGAATGGAGATGATCAATAGCATTTACGTTTCATATGAAAATTCATTTTTACTGGTGGTAGGACCTCTTGTGAGTCCGCACGGGTAGGTACCACCACCCTGCCTATTTCTGCCCTGAAGCAGTAATGCGTTTCGGTTTGAAGGGTGGGGCAGCCGTTGTAACTATAATTGAGACCTTAGAACTTATATCTCAAGGTGGGTGACGCATTTACGTTGTAGATGTCTATGGGCTCCAGTAACCACTTAACACCAGGTGGGCTGTGAGCTCGTATACTCATCTAAGCAATAAAAATAAAATAAAAAATTGAGAACGATGGGCAAAAGTTCCTCTGTTTAACTGACATGATTTTTTAATTAAAGGACTTGTAGAACTTATCCTCAGTATAATATATTTGTATTTAGTTTGTCTTCTACATATTTCTAGAACTGGTTGCCATTTCATTGGAACTTTGCAATATGTTTGATGATGTATTGTTTTTCGAATTCACATGCATATTATCAACTAATAAGTAATATTAATCTTTTTTTTCCACCTGAATTCATTTCGTAGCCGTAAAATTAATTATATTGATATAGATTAACCTGTAAGTGTTAATTTTGTTGGATCTTTGACGGTGCGAATATTGAATTGCATTAAAATATTTTAGGGTATCATCGGCGACTTGTTCCCTGGTCTACCGTTACCGGAGGCGGGCCTGCCACATTTAGTTTTATGTCTAAAAGAAGTTTGTGGGCCACTCAATTTACAAGCCACTGATTCCTTTGTAGAAAAGGTAACGTAAAGTAAAGTATTATCTTCTAATTAGTATAGTTTATAATAGACTATGTACTAGTAGACTAGGTATTAGCTAAAATATTCTTTACAAATTAGGCAATGATTATCATCATCTTAGGCCTTACAGCCCAGGGTGGGCCTTAGCCTGGTCCAGTACATCTCTCCAGGCTACTCTGTTCAGGGCTTTCTCCTTCCAGTTTCTGACACCGATAACTTTGAGGTCGTGCTCTACGCCATCCAACCATCGGAGTTTGGATCTGCCACGACTTCTGCGGCCCACTGGTTTGCCATAGAGCAGTTGTCTTGGCATTCTGGTCTTTCTAAAGGCAATGATTACTAATCATTAAATAAACTACATATATTTATTTTAGGTGTTGCAGTTATACGAAATGATCCTGGTTCGCCACGGACTGATGTTGGTCGGGTTTCCGTTTTCTGGTAAAACGAAATGCTACCACGCCCTGGGTCATGCCCTGGGACTAGTTGCCGAAAAGGTACATATGTAATATTCAATGGCACTCAAAGAAAAGTTACTTTTTGATTCTCGAGAATCATTCCAAAAAATTGAGGACAAATTTTGAATGTATAAGATTACAAGTTCAAAAAATTATATTCAAAGTTTTTCTAATAAGGCAAACATAGAAAATAGGTTTTGCTACTCAATGTACTTTTCAACATGACATTCGCAATATGCTGTGTGATTACCGAACTTTAAGCTGCAGATACCTACTCCCTTTTTTGGACAACACCTTTTTAGGTCTGAGCGGAAGAGACTAAGTTCAATAAAAGTAGACCAATTTATACTGGTGGTAGGACCTCATGTGAGTCCGCGCGGGTAGGTACCACCGCCCTGCCTATTTCTGCCGTGAAGCAGTAATGCGTTCCGGTTTGAAGGGTGGGGTAACCGCTGTAACTATACTGAGACCTTAGAACTTATATCTCAAGGTGGGTGGCGCATTTGCGTTGTGGATGTTTATGGGCTCCAGTAACCACTTAACACCAGGTGTGCTGTGAGATGGTCCACCTATCTAAGCAATAAAAAAAAAATAGATGTCTATGGGCTCCAGTAACCACTTAACACCAGGTGGGCTGTGAGCTCGTCCACCCATCTAAGTAATAAAAAAAATTAAAAAAAGAGTCGTAATCAATTCCTATAATTTGGAATGTTAAATTTAATGAATTATTAAAAACATATTGTATTTATTCAACTAATGCTAATGCAGGGTCTTATGGATGAAAACGCAGTAGAATGGACGGTTATTAACCCGAAGTCTATAACAATGGGACAGTTGTACGGTCAGTTCGATCCGGTCTCACACGAATGGTCGGATGGGATTCTTGCCGTCAGCTACAGAGCTTTTGCTGTCTCCCCAAATAACAATAGGTACTGTGGAAATTCAACATAAATTTAAAAATGAAGGTCCTTCCACTTGATTTTTTTTTATTGTGTTTTGATTCATCAGTTTGTCTGAAGTTTGTAAGTCTACGTAAAACTTGTGCCAAACGAATTTTGTGATGAATCTCAAGTTAATAGTTAAATTTGTATAGCGTGAATTATTGAAAAGGTAATTTATTATGATTTTGTTTTGTCATAACGATTGAATCATAAACGGATAACACTTAATTAAACCCTGACAGCTCGCACGCACTTCTACGCTGACTGTTTTTTGTTTTGATCATTGAAATGTAGTGGTTATTGAATTAACAATGTTATTAAAATAATTATTTTTTTCCATCCTTATACTAACGAGGTAGAAGATAATCCTTGATAATTGACAGTCCGTGATTGAGGTAAAGCAATTAATACCGGCTTTAATTGTTTCGATCGTGATTTTCCTTATTAAACATATTTCTGAACGAATTCCCGAAAATATATTTTCTTTTTAAATAAAAGGAGGGTTAATGTCAAATATCGAATTCAAAAGTATTAATACAAGTACCCCACACATCTGCTTTTAATAGATACATTTACACATTGGTTGTTTTTGTAGGAAGTGGTTAGTATTCGATGGGCCAGTGGATGCTATTTGGATAGAGAATCTAAACACCGTGTTGGATGATAACAAAAAGCTTTGCCTCATGAGCGGGGAAATAATTCAATTAGCTCCTACAACCAATCTTGTATTCGAACCGATGGATTTAGAAGCAGCATCTCCTGCAACGGTAATAAAATTTTTGAAGTTAAACTTCTTTAAGCGCGTTGAGAGTAAAATTTAACTTGCGACAGATTCGTTACGGCTAGAGAGACGGATAAGCGAACCACTCAACCGTGGAGAGAGGGAAATGACAAAGCGAGCTAGGTCGTTTCACTTATGCACAACATTCCCTGTTACAAAAGAAACTTGATTTAAGGATGAAAAATGACTACACACCGCAAAAGAAGTTTCACTTCTTTCACGTGCACTAAGTTGCACGCGCACCATTTTTGTTTTCATACTTCCTCTTTAATTTCTCATTATTAGGTGCAATAAAATTAAAGTGGTGTTAGATTGTTAATAATAACAATGGGTACCAATATTAATATTGTATTTCAATATTTTTATATCAATTAGTTTATTACCAACCAGCTGTGTACACTCATGTTCATGACATCTAACATATTCGGTTCTACCGAACAGAAATTTCGGTTTTCCTCTGAATTGTCCTCCGTGACTAAAACGGCAGTACTATGAATGCATTAAAAAGTAATGTGTATAAACTGTATTAAAACCCTTCAGGTATCACGTTGCGGTATGATCTACCTGGAACCGAAAGGTCTCGGCTGGAAATGTTTGCTCGAATCATGGTTAAACACTTTACCGCCCACTCTACATAAAGTCAATAAGAATCTTATCAGGAATCTGTTTAATAGGTTTATGTCCCCCTTGTTGTGGCTCATTGAATATTCTGGAAAGGCAAAGGTAAATTTAGATTAGTATTTGCTGTTTAAAATTGTAACGATTTTTTAATGAGTGTAAATTGTGGTGCTGTTGAGGCGCTCTTAGTTTACGGGAAATGAAAATGAAGATTTTGTTTATTGCCTACCTCGTGTTATAAAGATAAGCTCTACAACGTGTATGTCTATCTTGAGGCTTGAGGTTTAAGTCTCAATCATATTGAAATAACGGTTACCCTATCCTTCAAATCGAGGGAAATGATTCCTGTTTGGCCAAAATAGCATCATCCCGACGAACTCCTCACCATCACTTCTCAGATATAGTATGAAGGAGAAAGTTGGAATAAGTTGAGGATACCGTGCAAATTAGTCGAAAAAATCGGAATCTTTTCTTCTAATAAATATCCGATAACTGTTAATAATTATTAAGAGTTACCTCAATAATGTTATGTTAACAGCAAATGTATGTAACGTCGCGGAGCAACCTAGTCGTGGCGTGCATGAACCTTTTTGACACGTTCATGGACGATTTTTACGATGAGAAATATGTGGAACAGATATCGGATTTGGATATTCGTGCTCAATTAGAGGTAAATATTATATAACATAGTATACAGTGTGTTGCATAAAGTTTGATTGGGCTTTTTCTAAATTAAATTATTTTTTTCAAAGGGAGTATTCTTCTTTTCTTGTATTTGGTCAATCGGAGCAACTCTAGAGAGTGACAGTCGATCTAAATTCGACATTCTCTTCCGTGGATTATTAGAAAAGGAATTTCCTGAAAAGGTAATATGAAACTATGAAAAACTGCAAAGATCACTGTGTTGGAGATTGTATTTACATTACATTCACATTTATATCTTAGGTAATAGAGTTGCTGGGCTACCCACGTGAAATAGCAAAACCAGAAAAGCAATATATATTCACAATCCCGAAGGAAGGTCTGGTATACGACTATCGATTTATCAAGGAGGTTTGTAGCTTATTGAATGTAAAATATTTCACTCCAAATTATTTATACTGTTACGCGCTGGGGTTCGGATTAAATAAAAATTCTACTGAAGTGCAAATTAAAACTCTATTTAACACTTAGAGCGCTTACAGAGCACTTAACAATTCGTAATTCGCTTCGTCCCCTTCGCTTCAGGTGATCCGTTTGCTGTTTCGCTTCGAGTAGTTCCGATTACTAACACAATCCTTCGTGACATCCCTGCAACGCTTTTATAGTCGATACGACATACCGAAAATTATCGAGAGCATTCGTCACAAGCCGATTATTTTAGATATGCGTTTCCGCCATTTGACAATAGATGGCGTTGTATTTCTCAAGCGTTCTCGATTTTAATAGTTATTTTATATTTGTTACTGCTATTTGACGATAGATGGCGTTGCTCTTACCGGCGTATGTCTTTTTCGAGCGTAGTTAAAAAGCATTCGAAATTTTAGGGCAAAGGGAAATGGAAGCCATGGCAAGATGACGTGATATCAGCGCCTCCCATAAGCCGTGATACACCTCCTAATCAAATCTTAGTGACGACTCTTGACAGTGTCCGTTATTTGGCACTGTTCAATCTGCTCGTGACGCACCATAAAGCCGTGATGATGGTAGGCCCCACTGGCACTGGGAAGTCATCTTACATCATAGTAAGTAAATTTTGATATTTAAACACTAGAGATGTAAAAAAAATTAAATGAATGAATCATCGTTATCACCATCATCATTATCATCATTCCCTTATCTGCCCACTGCCGGACATAGGCGTGAATGTATGAATATAGGTAATTTGATTAAAATAAAAAATCTGTCAATTTTTTTTGCTCACGGCCCATCTGGTGTAAATGGTTACCGGAGCCCAAAGACATCTACAAGGTAAATGCCGCCACCCGCCTTGAGATATCACTTCTAATGTCTCAGTTTTTACAGTACAGCGGCTGCCCCATCCTTCAAACCGAAACGCAATACCGCATCACGGCTGAAATAGGCAGGATAGTGGTACCTACCCGTGCGGACTCACAAGACTCCCTACCACCACCAATATCTTATATCTAATATTAAAAAGTACTTCTCATACCAAATGGCAATAAATTATCCAAGTGGTCCACTGATTCGATGAAATTTATTACCGGAAGTCGAAATTTCGAGTCACACATGAATTGAATCAGCTTAATGATCACAGGATTTTCTCGTCAAACGGGTGGACACGAAAATCTACAAAGCTCTTATAATGGCCTTTTCGGCACAAACTAATTGCAATCAAACTCAAGATATCATTATGGGGAAATTGGATAAAAGACGAAAAGGTACTTTTGTGACACTATTAGTTTATAAGTCAGTTCAGTTTCCTTAGAAACCTTCAAATTTAAATTCTATCTATATATTAATACGTGAAGCAAAAACTTTGTATGCCTTTTTACGAAAATTGCGCGGACGGAGGAGTATGAAATTTTCCACACTTATGGAGAATATAGAGAAGAAGTGCACAATGCTAATTTTTTTTTTAAATAATGCATAAAAGATACATTAAATCAATAAAGAAAACATTACACACACTACATACCATGTATTTGACGCACACACGCATGCATACTATTTATTTTCAAACTCATTGGATGCGGAATGATGTCTACAAAAATGTTTTTTAAGGGCTTATTAGCACATAAAAAATTTCGATTGTTATAAACAAAATAAGATTAAAAAAAAAAGGAATTTGGTTTTTCCTTAATAATTTCTAAAAAAAATGATATTTAAGGAATTTTGAAAAAAGATCCTGAAAGAGGAGGAAATTTCCAATAAAAAAGTCCCAACTTCCGGAATTCTATCTCTATTATTTATAAAAAAAATTAACGCTGAAAATAGCGCTCCGCGAGGTCGTTACGGCATAGGCGCGCCGTCTAAAAAGCCGGTATTGACCTAAAATATTTTTTTTATAGTATTAAATAACAATTTAAAAATTTGAATAAATTATGGTGTAATCTAAACACTTGAACGAAAAAAACCTAAGTGAAAAAAAAATTTATATCGATTTTTCAAAAATTTACACCATTGTTAATTAACTAACTTTTTTCCAATCTCTGTTTTTATAAATTACGGTATAAAAGTTTCAATGATTCATCTATAATTTTTTCCCTTCGTGGAGCTCTTATCATTTAAGTACTTAATAAAGAAATGCAAAAAAACTTTTTAAGTATTTATTATTTTGATAATTATAATTTTTTTTTTAACAAAAAATTCAATTTCTAAAAAATGTTATGAAAAATAGTTTTTTTCCGTAATATCTTAATATTGCTGTTTTTGCATCTACCATAGGTATTAATTAACATTAAAAAAAAAATTACGCAACTTGTTAAGAAATTGTTTATAAACAAATAAACTATTTTGGGATTTTTTTAAAAAAAAAAATTTGCCGTCTTATTGTATAGGTGAAATAATAATTTTTTTAAAAAAACTTTTTCTTAAATAAATGTTTTAATTGTTTAAAATCGTTTTTTTCATATTTCAATTGTTTAAATAATTAGTTAAGAAATTATTTTTTTCTTAAAAATCATCATTGACTCTTTTCAGCGGATTGACAAACAAATACATTTTTTTATAAATAAGTTCATTGCTTATTAACTTAACAATTTGTTATAAAAAATTCATATTTATCGTTATATTTTTTTTCGAAAACTACAAAAAATTACAAAAACAACCATTACAAATACATAACAAAATATAGAAAAAAAAAATTTGAATTTTTTATAGCATTTTTAGATATTATATGATAATGAAATTACAGCCGTTACATAATTTGTCAAGTTATAAATTGTTATAACTTTTAAACTATAAGAGATACGGTAAAGGACACAGGTCATTTTTATAAAGGATTTATTTATCTTTAAAATAAATCCAAAATCGATCCTGTAACTATTGTTTATCAGTTATAAGCATTTGTTTATAAAAATTTAAGATTTTTTTGATATTTTTTGAAATTTCATAGCTTATAATTTGTTGAATAATATAGATACAGCTACGGACCCAAAAACTTTTTTGTTCTATGATAAAATATCTTTCTAATTACGTATAAATCATAGAAATATATAATTTTGTTTAAATAATACACTAGTTTTAATTTATACTTACCTCATTTACATTCTGCTATCGATCAGTTTTCATTTATTTCTTAACTAATTATTTAAACAATTGAAATATGAAAAAAACGATTTTAAACAATTAAAACATTTATTTAAGAAAAAAATTTTTTTTAAAAACTCATTATTTCACCTATACAATAAGACGGTAAAAAATTTTTTAAAAAAAATCCCAAAATAGTTTATTTGTTTATAAACAATTTCTTAACAAATAGCGTAATTTATTTTTTTAAATGTTAATTAATACCTATGGTATTTTATTAGCGGTATTTATGGTAGCGGAGCGCTATTTTCAGCGTTAAAAAAAATTTATAAATAATAGAGATAGAATTCCGGGAGTTAGGATTTTTTTATTGGAAATTTCCTCCTCTTTCAGGATCTTTTATCAAAATTCCTTAAATATCATTATTTTAGAAATTTTTAAAGGAAAAACCAAATTCCTTTTTTTTTTATCTTAGTTTGTTTATAACAATCGCAATTTTTTATGTGCTAATAAGCCCTTAAAAAACATTTTTGTAGACATCATTCCGCATCCAATGAGCTATCGTACATATTTTTAGAAGCTTTATGTCTATTTAACACGTTTTTGAACTTGTTGACTAGACTAATATTTTTCTATAGTGTAGTCTTGGCGAAATTTGTGATTATAGAAATATATAATACAATCATAATAGTGTAAAAACTTACAATTCCAATTAATCATAGTCGAATTTCGACTACTGCGGGACCTCTAGTTTATTTAAATACGACTAAATAAAGATTCGTCCATAAGCTATGATTAGTATATCATCAACAATAGTATTTTTAATTAACAGGAGTATACGGACCGCCGATTGGTTGTTACTGCGTGGTGTTCGTAGATGACGTGAGTATGCCTCAGGCTGAGACGTATGGAGCTCAGCCTCCTATTGAGGTGCTGCGACAGGGCATTGATCTAGGGCTCTGGTACGATCGGAAAACTAACTTTGCGTTGCATCTAACTGACGTTCAGGTACGTTTGTTTGAAAGTTTAGTTTCCTAAAATGTTGTTGAATTTTTATATTAAGACCTAGGTCTAGAAAAATCTGATTTTCTCTAAATCGTCTTATCTATCGATTTTATTTAATAGTCTCTTCTACAGTAGGTAAGTTTTGCCATTTGCTTGTATACATGGGTGAAGTATCGGTGTGTGTCTAAGTGAGAATATTGACGTCAAAGCTTATGGAAAGGGCTTCACGCTCTTCCATTGTGAATTACGAAGTTTATGAAATTTAATTAATTAAAATTGCAAATCTGAACCGTTGTTCAGGTTATTTAATGCAACGGCATTAAAAAATGACAACTTACAAAAAAAAATTCTTTAAACAAAATTAAATGGTCTCCCATATAAAATTATCTATTATTGCAGTTTATGTGCGCCATGGGAAAACCTACTCCTGGAGCTAAATTAGTAACACCAAGATTCTCCAGACATTTCTCATTCTTTTGTATCGACGAATTCGACGATGAGACTTTGAAAGTCATATTTGGCAGAATTATGCTTTGGCATCTCGACACTAGGTTTGTTGTTTAAGACTACACCGTTACCTATTTGAAGAACTAATGTCCTTAAAATTTCAGCATCAATAAGTATTGTTTTTTGTTTCCAAAACATGATTAGTAATTAAACTAATTTATTTACGTTTCTCAGGGGTTTTTCTAAAGACTTCGATCCTTGTATAGATGAAATAGTCGGAGGGACCTTAGAAGTATACAAGCAGTGTAGACTGAATCTATTGCCGACGCCTTCCAAATCGCATTACACTTTCAACTTGAGAGACTTTTCAAGGGTGATCTTGGTAAGCTATCTCGATCGTAACTACCATGAAATGTCTAATGAATTGATGTTAATCCGAATTAGTTCTAATGATTATGGTAAAACATATGGAAATATAGTTTATGATAAACTACATATTCTCAATTACAATTCTCAAAACAAGCATGAAAATGTTAGCCTTGAACAATAAAGAAACATGAGTTCAAGAACTAAGAGAGATTCTGAATGGTAACTGATCTAAATATGTACTGTCAAAACCTCTGTCATTCCTGAAGACACTTGTAATAGTCGTTGCATGTGATGAATGTGCCAACGCTTAGGGCCACTTTTCCATATATTTTTTCTCAAAAATAACTTTGACTGATACAAATATAAAAATTTGGTGAATTCAGCTCAATTCTCAGGTGATGCGTTTATCAATGAAAGTAGAACAATTTTCAAATGGTTTTTCATTGAACACATAATTTAATTTCAGGGTGTTTTACTATCGGTACCTGAAGTGACCCCGGATCTTCAGTCTATAAAGAGGCTTTGGGTCCACGAGTGCTTGCGTGTATTCTCTGATCGATTAGTGGAGGATCGCGACCGACAGTGGCTGGTCGGATGTCTCAGGGAAGCGACAGCCTCACATCTCAATGATAATTTCGATAAAATGCTGTCAAGATTGCTCGAGGATTCAAAAGATAAGGTTTCTATTGAACTAATGAACCTTTTTGCTATCTATGGTATGGACATTGGATATGAAAGTATCTAACTTGTGTATTTCAGAAGATTACTGATCTTCATCTTCGCAGTTTGGTTTATTGCGATTTCGCAAATCCTAAAGCCGATACACGTTTTTATATGGAAACATTGAACATGGACCATCTTAATTCGACGGTTGATGCATATCTCGTCGAATTTAACAATATGTCGAAGAAGCCAATGAATTTGGTTCTGTTTAGGTGAGTGAATTAATTATCTCACGAGGTATTGTCCAGTTGTATATACACTACTTATGTGCTACTATCAAATTTTTTTTATCGCCCTTGTAGACAGACGAGCATACAGCCCACCTGATGGTGAGTAGTTACCGTCCCCCATGGACTTCAGCAATGTCAGGGGCAGAGCCAAGCCACTACTTACTGCTTAATACTCTCCACAAGCCCCGTTTGAAGAAGGACATGTCATTGTGCTCGGGAAACACCGTGGAGGGGAGCTCATTCCAAAGCCAGATGGTACGTGGCAATAAAGATCTCTGGAAGCGCACTGTGACCGTAGTGACTCTATCCAGGTAGTAAGGATGAACTCTACTCCTCCAACAATTCCTCAGAGAACCTCAACTCCCCATGGAACATACGGTGCAAAATACAGAGGGAACCAAAATCCCTCCGCAGACCCAGAGGTTCCAAACGATCCATCAGAATGGGATTAATGTATTTACTTTTTTTTTTTTTTGATAACGTTTCTTTGAATCTGTCGTTGTTTTTAGGTTCGCCATTGAGCATGTATCTCGAATTTGTCGGGTGCTGACTCAGCCGCGCTCCCACGCGCTACTGGTGGGGCTCGGAGGGTCGGGCAGGCAGTCCCTGACGAGATTGGCTGCACATATCAATGAGTACGACCTCTTCCAGGTACATTTCAGGTTTCCTTTTTTTATTGCTTATATGGGTGGACGAGCTCACAACCCACCTGGTGTTAAGTGGTTACTAGAGCTCATAGACATCTACAACGTAAATGCGTTACTCACCTTGAGATATAAGTTTTAAGATCTCAGTATAGTCACAACGGCTGCCCTTCCTCAAACTGAAACGCATTACTGCTTCACGGCAGAAATAGGCAGGGTGGTGGTACCTAACCGCGCGGACTCACAAGAGGTCCTACCACCAGTAATTACGCAAATTATAATTTTGCAGGTTTGATTTTTATTACACGATGTTATTCCTTAAATTACGAAATATGCTTCTAACTCTTTGGTCCGTAGATCTTGTAGGTTTGTATTATACTAAGTTCTCTAATGCTGACATGTTTCGTTTGTCACTTGTGGCATATAGAAAAGCTATTTTGGAATATTTATAGGGTGGTTTAGTCCGATGGGTATTATTAAGTGTTATAGTGTAAGTTGATGTACTGTTTTTTTGTGTAAACTTAAATTTTTAAATTTCTCTTTTTATTTTCCATTGTTCACTCTCTATTTATATGCGATTTTGATGGTGGAAAAGTGTTTGGTTATTGTTTTAGCTTTTTTTTTAATTATTATATGTTTATTTTGTACTGTTGGTTTCTCAAATAAATACATAAATATATCTGTAATCAAACACATGGCGTACGATTAGCCCTTTACGCATCAGGGGTCGCATCCGGACCGCCGACCCATTTTGTGCGAACCGCAAGAACACAGCAACTTGCACTATAGAGTACGAAAGTTTCCAGTGAAGAGTTCTGGATTTTTTTTTTGTGTGGTAATAAATACCCAGAACTACAAAAATTAGCGTTAAAGTTTCTTACTTTCTTTGGGTCAACATATATTTGTGAAGCAGCATTTAGCTTCATTAAGAATAAATTTTGATGTCGACTTACTGATGAAGATTCCCAGAATTTAATGGTAATAGCTTACACCAATTTTGCTTCAAGCTTCAGATAGATAGTCCGAAACAAAAAATGAATTTTTTCTCATTTGCATTTATGATTTGTAAAAAATACCTTTAATATTTCTGTCACTACATTTGTTTGATAAATATTTTTTTCTATAAAATGTATTGCAGACTGCGATGCTCATTTCATTTCTTAGAACGGACCTCGAGCGAAACTAATTGGTGACCCCTGTCATAACCCGTCCGCAGTAATAGTATCCTCGATCAATGTTCCTACATTAATCTCGCTCTAAATCATCTAAATTTCACATTTAGTGGTAATGGATAGGAGCACCGTTTTTCTAATCTAATTAAACTTAAAAACTGACCTAGGACATGACCAGATTTTAGCAAAATCCCAGTGTTTTGCATTTTTAAGGCATTTGTATTATTAAAGGTGGAAATGAGTCGTACTTATGGCAAAACTGAGTGGAGAGAAGACTTAAAAACCCTGTTAAGGAAATCGAGTACTCCAGAATTACATATGGTCTTCCTTTTCATCGAGTCTCAGGTATCTATGACAATAATGACAAATTAATTATACAATCCCGCTGGATGCAGATAGCCCACAACCCATCATTAGTAAGCACCTTGGGAAGAAGCATATGTGGATCTCTGTGTTGATTATGCAATTGTTTAGAATTTGGATTTAACCTTACTACAGTCTGTATGATACAGATACTTTGTCCTCGAGACAATTATCTTTGGCAGTCTTCTATCTAGGCTTACATTCTTAACCCTTTATCCTGTTTAGGAGTAATCTAATTGCCAAATCAGAATTGGGTATTATAGTAAAATATAAAAATAAGTTAACGATTCAGCTTATAGATATTTATGGTGTGTAGAAATAGTAAAAAGAAATTTACAAGTTAATGTAAGCTTCTAACGGATTCTAAGAATCAGACAGACAGAAAGGTGTCAGATGTAGACATTTAATAAAATACGTATTATGTCGGTACGAGTAATGTTATCTCTTGTCAATTATCAAAACAATTAGTAGTATCGAGAACGTTCGAGAAGTGTTTTGACGGTGCGAGTAACACCATCTGATGCCAAATAGCGAAAGCGGATATCAAAATGTCTAATAATATCAGAAACCCTCTGGAAAATTGTAAACATGTGTCGACTATAAAAGCATTGCAAAGATGACATGAAGGCTGTTAGTCTTCAGTTTTATTAAAAACGAAACAGTTACTAACAGAAGCGAAGGAAGTGTTGAAGAAGAAAGAATATTGTACTGGCTGTTTTTTCTTTTAATGTTTCTATATAGATTCTACTCAATAAAATTCCAGATTAAGGAAGAAGGATTCTTAGAAGATGTTAATAATATGTTGAATTCAGGAGAAGTACCAAACATATTTGGAGCTGACGAAAAAGCAGAATTGTGTGAAAAGATGCGTGTGGTATGTTTACTTAAAGCTATTTCGTATATGTTAAATTTTTTATAAGCAACTGTAGGAAGTTGTGCCTTCTTCGGCTTCCTTAATTGTGAATGGCCTCCCTCGCTCTTGGACTTTAGCAATGTCAGGGTCATAGACAAGTCTCTGCCTGGAGGACTGTCCTTACTTAGTTTATTATTTATATTACGCATTATTCAGGCAAGACTTTGCTCTTTAGGCTTTCATGTTAGGTAAAATGATTGAAATGTTAAGTGTATTTAAAATGTGACGATTTTTTTTCCAGCAAGTTTATTAAACGCCAACGGCTTATAAACTTTTTGTGACTTTTAGATCGATCGGCAAAGAGACAAGTCTCTACAGACCGACGGTAGCCCGACTGCATTGTACGCGTACTTTGTGTCAATAGTTCGGGATCAACTCCACATCGTGCTCGCGATGTCGCCCGCTGGCACGTCGCTGAGGACGCGGATCCGGAAGTTCCCGTCTCTCGTTAACTGCTGTACTATTGACTGGTTTCAGGTATCACAAATATCTATTAGTAGGCTTTTCTACTAGTCTATATTCATTGTTACTCGATACGTTCCGTGTGTATGTGGTTTTTAAACATAACTGTCGTAAGTTTGTGATGTAACGTACTTAAGGTTGATTCTACCACCCTGTCTGCACGGACTCACAATACGTGTTGCCACCAGTAATTATGTAGGTTTATAAATTTCGAGAGTTGGATTTTTTTGTTGAATCGCTCTATACGATTTTTTTATTATATATACGGCTAACAAGCTTACGGTCTGCCTAGTGTTAAGGGATTACAGGAGCTCATAGGGTCCAACTCTCGATTGTATAGTAATAAGGCTGCCTCATTCTTAAAACCGGAACGCATTGCTTTGGGCCAGAGATGGGTAAATTGATTGTACCAAGCCATGCCGGCTTAATAAATGTCCATCAATATAAAAAACCTTGTGCCTCTTATCATTTTGGCCATTACAACTTTGGCCCGCTTTGGTTACGTATTCTACCTTTATTATCTAAATGATTTATCAAATGTTCCGTTGTTGAACAGGAATGGCCCCCAGATGCGCTACTAGCTGTGGCAACCCGTTTCCTAAAAGACGTGGAGCTGACCGACTTGGAACGCGACACCGCCATTAAATTATGTCAAGTGTTCCACACAGACACGCAGGAACTATCTCGACAGTTCCTGCTCCGCCTAAAGAGATACAACTATGTGACCCCCACCGCGTACTTAGAACTGATCAATATGTTCAAGTCGTTGCTTAGTAAAAAACGAACGTGAGTAATTCACTTGATATGATAAATACATGACATTTACTGGTACTGGTAACTAGCACAATTACATGACATTGAAAAAAATGTTTTCTCTTTTGAAAATATCTGATGAAAATACCCTTACATTTTGGCCACAAAATCGTTAAATTACCAAATTCAAGTGATATGTTTTATTTTTTTATGTATAAAATATAGACTATATTGAAGGGTATAAGGGTTTTAATCATTCCATTGAATTTTTAGAGAGCTCCTTACTAGTGAAAAGCGGTACATAACCGGATTAGATCAGCTTGCGATAGCAGCAAAGTCAGTGGCGGCACTGCAGCAAGCACTGGAAGTGCTACAACCGAAGCTGGCTGCTGGTGCGGCGGCAGTAGCTGAAACCACTGCTAAAGTGGAGAAAGAAAAAGAAGGAGTAGCGCTTGTAGAAGCAGAAGTTTTAGCAGACCAGGCTGCTGCTGAAGAACAAGTAATTAACTTCTCTTATTAATTATTCAATAATCCGGAGTTTCTGTAGTTGAGCAATACTATGGTTGAAAGAATACACTGTGGTAGGAGAATAAAAGTCTAAGATTTATGGTATATTTCTTTTCAAAAAGGCCAAAGAAGCTCAAGGTATAAAAGACGAGTGCGATGCAGACTTGGCTGAAGCAATGCCAATTCTGAATGTGGCTCTAGCTGCACTAGATACCTTGACTCCACAAGATATCACCTTCATTAAGACGATGAAAAGTCCACCTAGAGGCATAAAGCTTGTGATGGAAGCTATCTGTATACTAAAGGTATGGTGGTTGATTTATTCGATTAAATATTTTACTTTGTGAATTTTTGTATGAAATAATGTTATGAATATTTGTAAGTGTAATAACAACTTGTAAAAAGTAATTATGGAATAATGTTTTTTGCATGCTAAAGGATGATCCGGTATGTATATGTACTAAATTTTGCATAGCACTATTAAAATAACATTCAGAACAGAACACAAAGCTCTGCCATTTATTTAAATATTAGAAGAGTTCCTAATTTTTAATTTTAAGTAAATTTAGACTCGTAGAGTCTCGGATTTCAGTCTACATTTGCTTACCAGGAAGTTAAGCCCGATAAAATACCCAACCCATCTGGCGTCGGCACCATAGAGGATTACTGGGGACCTTCTAAAAAGTTACTCAACGACATCAAATTTCTTGAATCATTGCAAAACTATGATAAAGATAACATAAATCCTGCGGTTATGAAAAAGTTGATGACGACCGTGATGCAGGACGACGGGTTCGTCCCTGAGAAGATAAGGGCTGTTTCCGTTGCGGCTGAAGGTACAGAATTCCTCGTTTTCATGTATAAAGTACTTTAAATGCCATATAAAGTACTTAGAAAATTGTCTGAAGATGTATTGCTGAGGCTCAATCCATTTTCGCACGTTTGTCGAAATTAAATATTACAATAATTAATTATTAAGTTACTTCTTTCTAACTTTGAGACTACTTTTGCGTATTTAAGATAAAGGTGTAAACGGTAATATTTAATGTCACTACATGCATATCAAAAGCTTCTAAAACATGGGTCCGTAAAGTGCAGGATTTAGCCTCACATATACGTAACCTATATTAATACTATATTAAGATAGAAATGAACAGTAAAAATAAATAAATATCTTCTATTTTAAAGGTATGTGTAAATGGGTGATTGCAATGACGAAATATGACAAAGTTGCAAAAGTCGTAGCACCTAAAAAACAAAGACTTGCTGCAGCACAAGCTGTTTATGACAAAGCTATGGCAGCTTTAGCTATCAAACAAGCGCAATTGAAAGAGGTAGGCTTTTGAATAGTTTTCTTTATATTAATTTGTCTTGGATGAATCTGTATCAAAAGTAAAACACTGGAGGTTCAAATAAAAATTCTGAATGAACAACCCTGAAAATCGACTCACTTTTAATTTTACATAGGTACAAAATAAACTGGCCAAGCTAGAAGATGCATTAGCACAGCAAAGCCGTCAGCAAAAGTTGTTGGACGACGAAGTAATGGATTGCAGTAACAAACTGAAACGAGCCGAGATGCTTATTTCGGGTCTTGGTGGGGAAAAGACTCGATGGACACAAATCGCACAGTCTCTTCGGGAAACTTATAATTCACTTACAGGTGATATATTGATAGCTGCTGGAATAATTGCTTACCTCGGGCCATTCACTGCTACGTTTAGAAACGGACAGGTAAATAAACAAGTCCTTACAATAACTAGATGCGATTTTAAGACATGTTTAATAACGTTAAGCCTTTCAGGTGAAGAAATGGGCCCAAGCATGTCACAACTGTGGCATTGTGTGCACACTGAACTATAGTCTTATCAAATCTCTTGGTGAACCTGTTACTATACAACAGTGGAATATTGATGGTTTGCCTTCTGATGACTTCAGTGTTGAGAGTGCCATCATTATAATGTAAGGTTATCTCTGGACTATTCTAAGTTTCTTCTTTCTTCTGTATTTATTCATTTATAAATGTATGGTTTGTAGGACTGCTCGCCGTTGGCCCTTGATGATCGACCCACAAGGCCAAGCCAACCGTTGGATCAAAAATATGGAGAAACCTAATAATCTTTGCGTCGTGCGAATGACACAAGCCGATCTTGGACGTGTTTTAGAAAATGCGGTGCAATTCGGACAACCGGTATCATTGATTCGTTTAGGTTACATTCTGCGATATTCTTAAATTAAATTCAAAATCCGTTGTTTAAGGTTTTGTTGGAGAATGTTCTGGAAGAATTAGATCCAATGCTTGAACCTCTCTTACAACAGCAGACGTTTAGACAAGGAGGTGCACTTTGTATCAAAATCGGCGATACTATCGTGGAGTATAGTAAAGATTTTAAGTGCGTTCAATTTGTTTTATTGCACATAATGTCTCGAGTTTAGCACCGGCTGTGATGAGTGGTTTTTTTTTGTAGATTATATATAAGTACGAAGCTAGCCAATCCGCATTATCTGCCAGAAGTAGGTGTTCGAGTTACTTTAGTTAACTTTATGTTGGCAAAAGACGGCTTGCAAGCTCAGTTACTCGCCCGCGTGGTGGCTAGAGAGAGACCGGACTTGCAGCAAGCTAAATCAGACCTCACAACTCAAGGCGCCGAACACAGAAGACTGTTGCAGGAAATAGAGAAGAAGATTTTGAATGTGTTGTCCACGTCAGAACATTTATTAGAAGACGAAGAAGCTGTTCAGGTGTTGTTTCGTAGCTTTTTATTTATTTATTCATATAGCAGAAATGGGTGGACGAGCTCGCAGTCGACCTGGTAATAAGCGTTTACAGATGCCCATAGAAATCACAATGTGGATGCCATCACCCACCTTGAGATCCGGATTTGAACACTCAATTGGATTTTTACGGCGGTCCCAGCTTTCATAATTTAGCTTGTGAAGATGCTAAAATGTCCTCTGTATTTATTTCTTTAGAAATACAATATGTTGATTTGCGTTATAGGTGTTTAAAAAATCTTGCAGCTAAGCTGTCGGTAAATTCAACATTCGCAGTTCGGTGCCAACTTATTTAGCAAATGCATTTTTAACAAAAGATACTTATAATGTAGTTTTAATACAGATTTTAAAATAAATGTGAGCAGTATGTTTTGTGGTAAAATTATTAGTGCTTGCACCTTAAAAATGATTTTGCGTAGAAAATATTAAAAATAATGTCTATGCTGTGACAAAGCTATGTGACGATCAATGGGCAGTACTCAACAACGGTTAACTTTAAGGGGATTTGTTTAACAGTAGAGGTCTAGCAATTGATATGAAAGTGAGAACCAATGAACAAATGAATTGTAATCTGCCCGTCTAGCTTGTTCAATCTGCGACTTTGTTTTATAGATTTTGAATTCAGCGAAAGACACATCGAACGAAATCAAAGAGAAGCAGGAGGTAGCGACGGTGACGGAGAAAGCCATAGACACAGCTCGAGACGACTACGTTCCCATCGCTGTGCATTCTACTAACCTGTTCTTCCTTATAGGTAGGTACTTTATTGAATCTAAAATACATATATTTCGATATTTTCGTTGGGAATCTGTTGCCGCCATTTTAACATTTCAAATTATTATTCCAATTGACCAAGATCAGTGAGAATTTCATTTATGGTTGCTTCGTAGTTTCAATCTCTAAGATACGAGGCTTTTGTCACATTTGGAGAACGTGAAGTGATATAAGTTAGTACAACAACATCGTTATGGGTGTGGTTATAAAGCAATCACTATATTAAAATAAATGAAACGGCAACAATTGCTAGAGTACCAAAATAGCCTACTGACGCACTTAAATATTCACTTAGAACATTAATAATGTTCTTGGAACAAAAATCTTTCTGTTTTATTTATATCGAGCTTTTGATGTATATTTGACGGCACCATGACGGCACAGACATTAATATCATTGTTCGCCTTCCGAAACCACAATCACGTTTAAGCAACCCTTTACCAATTAAGCTACCGATCAAAATGTTTTGAATAACGTTGCCAGTTTTTAAATGTATCTTTGCGTTTCGTGTCAAGCGTCTCTCGCGAACATCGACCCGATGTATCAGTACTCGTTGGGATGGTTCGAGGGACTGTTCACGGGCGCTATAGACAACACTGAGAAGGTTGACGACATACCGGAGAGGCTCGGCATATTGCGCGCCTTTTTCACATATTCACTTTACGCAAACATATGCAGGAGTCTATTTGAAAAGGTGAAATGTAATTTTTTTCCTGCTTACTTTCTATCTAAATCGCTCCATATCTATGTACATATATGTCGAAGTTTGATATCTTTTAGGTTTACGATCGTCTATTTGTCTGACGTGCCCTTTGGGAGTTGCTATTGCCAAGATGTTAAGGCTTCCTTAAAGTTTTTGTTAAGTTAACCTTACAGCCATGTAGTTGAGAAAAAGTCATATATAATTATGATCATATATCTGTATCATATTATATAATCTAGGTTTAATTATTATTCCTGGTAGATGGGATACCTAGAGGAAACGAATTGAATTTCAGTACTACACTGGTAATGGATAGCGATGAGTATTCGTGATAAAATTTCAAGTTACAGGAAATATCTTGTCTCAAACCCATCTAATTAATCGATAAGAACACAATCAGACAACGTGTAATGGATATCATATTTTGTTGGTAACTGTATTAACTTAAGTCTCATAATTGGGGTGAACGAACGCTAAATTGGAAATTAAATTTCAGGATAAGTTAGTATTTTCACTGTTACTAACGATAACGATAATGGTGGCGGAAGGTCGTTTGGACCAAAATTCGGTGCTGTTCTTAATGGGGGGCGCTCAACCTCGGAACGTACCACCAAAGCCGGTCGCTTTCCTCTCTCCGCAGAATTGGACTGAATTTAATGGGTGGGTATATTATTGTGTAATTATGTAATCATTATGAAACGTTCTACATTCCGGTTTTGTTGGACTTCTGATAATACAAGGTGTAATGATGGTTGGATGGCCACATACCAGATGGACTGACGACCTGATGAAAATTGCTGGGTCACGTTGCATGCATGTGGCAACGGACCGGCCGCACTGGACATCAGTTGGAGAGACTATGTTCAGCAGTGGAGTAGACAGGCTTTTTTTTTAATGCCTTTGTAGGCAGACGAGCATACGGCCTACCTGATGGTAAGTGGTTACCGTCGCCCATGGACTTCAGCAATGCCAGAGGCAGAGCCAAGCCGCTGCCTACTAGGCTGAGATGATGATGATGATGAATGGCGATATGTTCTAGCGATTTCGTCCAAGTCGTAAATGGAAATCAATATTGTAATACTTAAGGCATTGTAACAATTAAATGACATATATGGCCTCATAGGAGCACTAGTCGAGTGTGCAAGTTTTGGACCCCCAATTGTTTCCGTAAACGGTTTACTAGAACTAAAAGTGTGCGTCTAAAAGTCTAACTTTTCAACTAAGCCGTTCTAAGTCCTCAAATGTTCTACATTCATACCGACTACAATGTGCCTAGTCCGAAACACACTTGACTAGCTTTTTTATCGATGAGCAATTCATTTACTTGTGTTTGTCCATACATTTTATTTTGTCACACAATAAACAGCTGTTTAAAAACTCCGCTCCCTTCATACGTGTAATCTTAAATTAAGACGCTACGTGTATTGTCATCTGCTTCATATCCAATATAGGTTGAATGAACTAGACGTTTTTCGTGGTATTTTGGATCATTTTATGCAAAATATACCTGTCTGGGAGACGTACTGTAGTTCCGGCGACCCGCACAACCAACCACTGCCGGACCCTTGGGACGCCAAGCTCAGCAAGTTTGAGGTTAGAATTATCCCATATCATGTTTATTAGTTTTGTATCACCGTAGCACATCTAGCTGTTATTGAATAACTATCTCGGGACCTTAAAATGTTAGGTATTCTTAATAGCGTAAATTCGTAAATTTAATCAATTTGTTTTGCTATTTTATCATTAGAAACGACTTTAGTTTGGAGGATAAGTCATCTGGTGTACACGTCCGGTGAAGTTAGCATAACCACTCGAAGCTACTAACAATAGATCAAACACAGTAAAGAGACAATACCGGTGTTTTCGTGTCAAATGATGCAACTAGTGTGTTCAAATCCTATGACAATAAATTTTTTTTCTAATTTCTATTCTACTCAGTGGGTCGCGATTTCGATCCTGTAGTAGATTCAGCGAAGCACTGCTCTTACTAGGGCCAGTATTAGCAATTCTCTCAGATTGAGCCCGTGAGCTCACCTACCGGTCCGCGTGAAGTTGGAATAAGCCCTTAGGCTACCAACGATTAGGCAGGGAAAAAAATTGCGACTTGTACGATAAAGTAATAATATCGGTTAATAATCTAATTCGCAAAATTAATAAAAGTGTGTAAGTATTAGTGTGGGGGTCTGTTGTCGGGTAGCTTAGTGCATTCAACTGGACATACACATCCCACAGCCCTAACACACGGCGTGATATCATGGTTTAATTCCAGCCCCAAAATAGAGAATTTTGTGAGATTATACGGGTAGATCATCATCTCGCTATTGCTGTGAAGCAATCATGTGTTCGGGCTTAAAGCGTGGGACAGACACGCTATAATTGAGACTCCTCATTTCACCTCACGTCTCAATGTTGATCACGTAATGATCTCTATGGGCACTGTTAATAGCAGCTTCTTACTTATCTATAACAATATTTTTTTATATAATATTTTAGGCGAGTTTTTTTTACAGAAAATGATGGTCCTTCGTTGTATGCGTTTAGACATGATGGTTCCAGCAGTGCAGAATTTTGTCGAAGGTTCGTGAACTTTTATGAACCGTTGCTTCAATATTTAGAAGCATAAAATCGATTTTAGTTGGATTTTTTTTACCAAAATTTGTTCGAATTTTCCTTACATAATTTTGGCATCGTGGCTTACATACAACTTTTTTTATGTTTTAGAACAATTATCTACATAATTAATCCTCCTATAGATCGCTGTTAAAAATCAATTTAAAAAAAATTAAATCGTGGTGATCCATTTTAACGTTTTTTTTTGTCGTGCTTTATGAAATTCACTATCAGGCTTCACGGTCAACGTCTGAGAGCTGTTGTTTCCAGGCGAGATGGGTCGCCAGTTCGTGGAGCCTCCCCTGTTCGACTTGCCTTCGTCGTACGCGGACTCCCACTGCTGCATACCCCTCCTCTTCGTACTGACCCCGGGCTCGGATCCAATGGGGACACTCTTGAAATTTGCTGATGACCAAGTACGTCTCAAAAGTTTTATAATGCGTTTTTTTTTAAATTGACGTATTAACATGACATAGGAGCAGAGAAAGTTTACGCTTCTTACTATATATAACTATGTGAATATACCCTATATATAACTATGTGAATGAATGCATACCCTAACCCTCAGACACGGCCCACTGAGTTTCTCACCGGATCTTCTCAGTGGGTCGCGTTTCCGATCCGGTGGTAGATTCTGCGAAGCACTGCTCTTGCTAGGACTAGTGTTAGCAACGTCGTCAGGGTTGAGCCCCGTGAGCTCACTTACTAGTTAAGGTTACGCTGAAATAGCCTCTCAAGGCTCTCAGCTTATGTAGGAAAAAAAAAACTGCATGCCTTCAGACATGAAGTCGAAATCTTAAGTTACATTAGAATAACAGTTATCTCTGTCCCCCTCAAACAAGAAAGCACAATTTACAAAGACAAAGCATGATATTACCGTAATTACCCATTAATATAATTGTTCTGATTACATGGTCCTGTTCCTTGACCGTGGAATTCGTTTTGACTTTTTCCAGGGTTTTGGGTCTTCTAGATTGTTTTCGTTATCTCTGGGTCAAGGTCAGGGTCCAATAGCCGTGAGGTTGATCGAAGAAGGCGTCCGCAGCGGGACGTGGGTAGTACTGCAGAACTGTCATTTGGCCAAAAGTTGGATGCCAATGCTTGAAAAGGTATTTTGTTACATTTAGATTATTATTTTCTGTGCCAACGTTCCCCGAAGTGTTCTCCAATGAGAACTACATGTTAATACACTAAGTGCTAACATTCGTATTGTTTAACAATATATCACATACCGCCTACGTACCGACAGAAGAAGCAACAATTTTATTTTCCCAGATATGTGAAGGTTTCACTCCAGATTCGACGCATCCAGACTTCAGACTGTGGCTGACGTCATACCCCGCTGATCATTTTCCTGTTTACGTGCTGCAGAATGGGGTGAAAATGACCAATGAACCACCTCAAGGTACAGCCAATTGTTTATACAGATTTATACCGGACTCACAGGTTTAACAGAGTACCTTTTTGTTTTGTTTTTGCTGCTCTATTCCGATTTCGTTCATGTCATAGACCGCTAGAAACCTACTTTTGATCATAATTTGAATTACGAACTCATGATCTTTTCTATGGGTTTGTGCTTTCAATTAACTCGCTGTTTCGTCGACTTTACTGGTGGTAGGACCTTTTGTGAGTCCGCACGGGTTGGTAACATCGCGCTCCCTATTTCTGCCGTGAAGCAGTAATGCGTTTCGGTTTGAAGGGTGGAACAGCCGTTGTAACTATACTGAGACCAGGGCCATAAAAATCGCAATTTTTTTTCGCGGCTTGCGTTTTTTTTTTACCTTTTTTGAATTTGGAATTGTATTCTTTAAAATTTAAACTTAATGATACCAAAACCAGACAGATACAAATAGTATAGCCAAAGAGATTTTTATTACATACATACTATAATGAGAAAAGACTTTTTCCCCAACCTATTATATCAGAAATACATATGTAGCGCATGTGAAAATCCTCAGTTTGGAGTTTGGTACGAAAACTGCAAAGTACTATTGCGACTCTGCAGGTCTCAGGGCGAACGTAGCTCGGTCTTACCAAAGCGATCCGATCAATGACCCGGAATGGTTCGAGGGCAACAAGCAACCGGAGAACTTCAAGAAGCTGCTCTTCGCGTTGTGCTTCTTCCACGCCGTGGTACAGGAGCGGAGGCAGTTCGGGCCCCTGGGCTGGAACATACGATACGAATTCAATGAAACCGATCTTAGGATAAGTGTCACACAGCTATACATGTTCCTCAATGAATACGAGGTAATCATTTGTTAAATGCTAATCATTGAATGCAACTATTGCTCGTGTTATTGTCAATATCAATAGATTATTAATTTCTGAACGTACTTTAAGAAAATCTAAGAACAGTTGTACTTGTCCAATCTCGACATGGGAGCTCTGTTCTAAGTTCAATGGAGCAAACAACCACAAATCTATATTGTAAGATCTTCATAATAGTCGTAACCATCTAATGTGTTTTTTAACACGCTTTTTATAACATGGTATGTATGTAGGTATGTTTGTAACGAAATTCTTGAATGTCATTTTCGCTGACTTCAAAACGTCCGATCATCTTGAAAATTTGCATCAAGTAGCGATGGCAATACAATGTTCATATGTCTTCGCTCCAATATCTTGACCATTAAGTATCAACAGGTTTAAAAAAAATATTAAGATAAATTAGTTCAATTATTATTAGGTTAGCTATTTGAGCGTATTTCTTTTCTTTTTTTTTTACTCCATCGTTTTATCTTTGGCTTTGGGTTCGCCTAATGTGAATGCCACCACCTTTATTAAGGTGTATGAGGTCGAAATCCAAAATTGTATTGTTTATTGTAAAATTGTATTGGCTGTGCCGTTCAAATTTGGAATTCGCGGCAGAAATTGTTAGAGCAGCGGTAACTATATCCACACGCGCGTTCATTTATTGTATCAGTAAACGGAATCGCAGTAGGCTTCCATAATACTTGAATAGTGCAGCTACCCATTTCTAATGTCTTCAGACATGAGTGGATGAAGGGATTAAGTACCATTATTAAGATTCTTGAGTTTTTACATTGCATGAAAGTGTTATGTGCCTTTAAGCCATTTCAGACCTTAAACTCTCGGCTTAAAGGCTATTTTTAGAAATTGCATGTGATGTAGGAGTTACGTACGAAGAAAAAGTACAAATAACAAAAGTTTGTTACCAGTTTTCTCAAAATTAACAAATTGTATCATATCCCCTTCATCTACTCATGTCTTCAATTGCTGTGCTAACGACGTTCACGAGAAGAGGCGGGATGATGCTGTAGGTACTGGCACACAGAGGAAATTCACAGCCCTCATATTATAAGTCAGCAGAGTTTGGTAATTTGAAACGAAATGTGACGTTACGAACAGGACGTTCAATTCGTGGCGTTGCGTTATTTAACCGGAGAGTGTAACTACGGAGGGAGGGTCACAGATGACTGGGACAGACGTTGTCTCAATACTATATTGTCCAAGTTTTACAATCCTCTGGCTATTGGTGATGAAAAATACCCATTGGATCCTAGCGGTAAGAATAATCTATAGCTATTTTTCAAAAAACATATCTTACGATATATGTTAAATGTAAATGCGTCACAGGGTTCGCTTGCTCGTTTTTAAATCTAATAACGAATTCATATTTTCGAATATGAATCAGGACAATCATGTTATTAAATTTTTAATTAACTACTTAACTTAATCCGATATAATATACCGATGCCATAATTAACTCTCTAATAAGTTAGTTTTCAAAAAAGATTTCTCTATTATTTTTGTGCATTTAAGCTTTTATGACAACAACATTCAAAATTCATGAGGCTTTGTAATGGAATAGTCAAAATTGATATTACAAGTTAGTTACAAACGTTTCGAAACATTTCCCAAGTAGTTGAGTAGAGTATACTTTATTTTACACAAACAAAAATACGAAATATTAAATAAAATGGTACAATGTGCGGTATTATCGCTAAAAGCGATTTCTTCCGGACAACCATCAGTTGGACAAAATCATCTAAGAAAATAAATTAACCGCGGTTGACTTAACGATTTAAAAAATAACGATTTAAATTTTACTGGTGGTAGGACCTCTTGTGACTCCGCACGGGTAGGTATCACCAGCCCGCATATCTCTGCCGACTGTTTCGGTTTGAAGGGTGGGGCAGCCGTTGTAACTATACTGAGACCTTAGAACTTATATCTCAAGGTGGGTGGCGCATTTACGTTGTAGATTGTCTATGGGCTCCAGTAACCACTTAATACTAGGTTTATTTTTTTATTTTATTTTATTGCTTGAATGAGTGTACGAGCTCACGGCTCACTTGATCTTAAGTGGTAAACGCATTACTGCTTCACGGCAGAAATAGGCAGGGTGGTGGTACCTACCTATACGGACTCACAAGACGTCCTACCACCAGTAACAAAAGCAGTGGGCTGTGAGCTCGTCCACCCATCTAACCAATAATAAATATTGACGCTTGAAAGGCAAACGTGGCTAGACTAATTTAAAGTTGAAATACCTGAAAAAAATTCTAATTTAACGAATCTAGGATGTAGGCTGTAGGATTGAAATGATTTTAATAGACCTAGAAATATCTTTTTGCGCATCGAATACGGTTATTGCCTATTATTTATGTACAAAGCAGTTATTGTCGCTTAGTGACGTTTGTTTTCGAGCGTCGATATATAATTGAGTTCTATTTGCGCTATATAATATGTTCGTTTAGGCGTATATTACATACCGAACCTCCGCGAGCACGGTGATTTCATTACGTTCGCCAAGTCGCTGCCCGTGGCGACGCCGCCCGGCGTCTTCGGTTTCCATCCCAACGCCGACATCACCAAGCACTTTAGGGAAGCCGAGGAATTACTAAACACGGCCATACTCACGCAGGTATAACAACCGAGCGGCAATATCTCTGTTTGTTTACTGTTAAATACAGTTGTTGTTATTAAATGCACTGTTGTTAAATAAAGTTAGAAGCCTAGAACGCAATTAAATCAACTTTGTAACTTTGTTCGTAATATATTATCTAACTTAAAGTATTTTGTATTCAGAGTATATAAGATTTAGATAGTACAGTTATCCTTGATTAGATGTATTACGTTAGCATTCTTAATGTAATTGTATTTTCATGTCTCTTCTGAGCATCTATTCGGTGTCTACAGGATCGTTTGGTAAGTACGTAAAGATGAAAATAAATAGATTTTTATTGTATATTATTTTGTAGTGATTGTTAATTAATTATCTTTCCAATTTTACAAGGATCTACTCAAACAACATTTGGTAAGTTTTATTTACTATTCTATGTTCAAGTTAAAGTCGCCTGTGTTTGCATTTACTTTGTGCGTTATATTTTGTATGCTATCATTGTCTTTGTCTTACTCGCTTCGTTTCTTATTTACAAGACTATTTCTTAATATTATAACCATAAAGTCGAATCCCTACACCAAAATCACTTTTGTACTGACTTGTGTATGTTAATGTTCCAGTGTTTTCAGTTAGATTTTCTGTTATTGCGTTAATGGACCAATGAGTCCACGGCTCACTTAATGTTAATGAGTTACCGGAACTCTGTCGCCCATCTCGTTACTTGAGGTAGAAGTCTTAATTGTATTGGCTATCAGCTCCCCCCGCCCCCCTCAAACCGAAACGCAAGACTGCTTTACAACAGAAATAGGCAGGATAGTGTTACAAAGTGTACGGTACATTCAGTCACTAGTAAAAACTCCTGATCCATTAATGGTGTTTTTAGGTACCACAAGCACCGGTCACCGTCCTCGTCGAACCCGTCGCTTGCGACGAAGGGCTCGACGAACGAATTTAGCCATAGACACCAGCACACTGAGTTTCTCGCTGGAACTTTTCAGTGGGTCGCGTTTCCGATCCCGTGGTAGATTCTGCGAAGCACTGCTCTTGCTAGGGCCAGTGTTAGCAACACTACGGTTTGAGTCCCGTGAGCTCACCTACACGTTAGGGTGAAGCTGAAATAGCCTCTCAATGCTATCAGCATAGGCAGGATTTTTTTTTAGTAAAACTGTAATAGTATAATTATTAATCATGCAAATCTTATTGTCTAAATTGTTAAATACATTACGTTAGAATCAATATGGAGAATACTCGGACTTATGTTTTTCGATCTCTAAAGATTTTTACCTGGCTTCACTTTCCATTTCGCATCGCGCCTCAGGACACAATGTCGGCCGGAGGCGGTGGAGCGACACCAGAGCAACAAGCGATGGCGATAGCCGAAGATATTTTGGCTCGGCTTCCCAACAAGATCCTCACAGGACCGTCCCACGAGGGGGACATAAAGCCAGCGGACATGACCCCCATGTCTATAGTCGTCATACAGGAGGCTGCGAGATATGAGAGGCTTGTCAACGTGGTGAGGTCTAGTGCCAGGGCCGTTATTGGCGCTGTACAAGGTACTGTATGAACGTTAAATACTTCCATTGAAAACTTCCATTTATCCTAAGAGCATATATTTATTTAAATGATCACCTATAAATTTATTGATTGTTTTTATTGCAATTATAGGGAGACGAGCATGCAGCCCACCTGATGGTGAGTGGTTACCGTCGCCCATGGACTTCAGCAATGCCAGGAGAAGAGTCAAGCCGCTGCCATATAGCACCTTAAGCTCGTTCATCCGTTAAAAAAGAGAAAGTGACCCCAATTTAAAAATCATGGATGTCCGACTTTTTACGCCTGCTGCCTGGTCGCTACGCCCGTGTGTATTCCCGTAGGCGTGAGCGTACTGACGGACGTGACAGAAGAAGTGCTAACGAGCATGGTCCGCGGCCGCATCCCCGCTCTGTGGGCCGGTAAGAGCTATCCCTCGCTCAAACCACTCGCTTCGTACTTCAATGATCTACTGGCCAGGCTCGAGTTCCTGCAGGTTTGTACGCGCACTTTATTGTACTATTGCATTGCCGTTAATCAAAAACGTATGTTATTCTTGTTGTAACTAAGTTAACTATCGCTAGATATTATACGAAATACACCCATTTGTAAGGCCCGTTAGTCGAGTTGTTGGCGACCCTAAATATCGTTCATGTCCCTGTTGGAGTAATCTTCTCTTTATACAGTTTATTTTGTATTCGAGTGTTTTGTATGCAAGTGTAATAATGTACGCTCAGTTTTACATACCGATATAATTCAGTCGTTATGCAGCATGCGTTTCTTCTTCGTACGCGGCCTAACAACTAATGAAATTCGTCGGTTCGTGTAAAGCAAGCGTGGTGCGAGGAATCAGTTTACGAATGTTATTCTGACGTTGCGCGGGAGAATAATGGCTGATCGTTTTACCATTTTACAAATGCTGAAACTAGTAGAAACGTATCGAGACTACCCATGTTTATGGAATGCAACAAGTGATTTAAATAAAAACCGTAATGTATAGCAGATACCTACCTCTGCTCAATACCACTCTTTCAAAACAAACGGACGGTGAAGAATATCCAACAATCGCCAAGTGGGCCCTATTGACTAATGAAAACGGCTATCGCATGCTGGCCCTATGGTAGGCCTAAACAGCATCTCCCGTACCCCAAACGCGGGCTCTAACGACCGATGGAAATCAACCTGAAATGTGTACTAATACAAAATCATAGATAGCTTAAATACCAATTTCCTTTTTTTTAAACTATTGTAGGCAGACGACTAGCATGCGGCCCGGCCTGATGGTGACGGGTTACCGTCGCTCATGGACATCAGCAATGCCAACGTAAAGCGCAAATTTGAAGAAGTTTAGTTGTCTAGTGTTTTTTTTTATTCAATAATAAAATAAATAAATAAAAAATAAGATACTGTTATTTCAAGACATCAGTCTCATATTGTTAGTATTACAAATAACTTACGAGCTATGTTAGTATTTAAATCAATCAATCAACTCCGTCCCTGGCAGCCCCATCAAGCAGCATGTAGAACATGCAACTTGATGAACCTACCCAGGGTCGGGCCATCCAATCTTTCAGCTAGTACCCTCAAGACGTTCTTGGTGCTTCCTCCTACTCTACGCATAATGGATGCCACCTTTTTGCGCATTATCGCGAAGTAGTCATTCGTGTGCGGATCATCGAACATGCCTGATGCAATACAATAAGGTGGAAGCCTCAACAACGCCCTGAAGGCATTATTATATTGCATGCGCAGGGCATTATCCGTTTTTTGGGTATGAGTAACCCAAACTTGACGACACACGGCCAATATAGTTACTGTATCTGTACTGTAATATGTGGACATTAGAACATCCAGCCACCTTATTACGTGAGATCTAAGTCTCAGTTGTATTGAATACCGGCTGTCCCATAGCTCATTACGGAACAAACGCCTACACGGTAGTAATAAACGTGATATAAGCTACGCAGCTCCGAAATTTGGTACTGAAGTCATATAGTCATCGTCTAAGTTAAATAAATAATAAAAAAATACTTATTTACTTTTGTACTTTGTAAGGTTACCCGAATCGTAAACTTGATTGAACCACAAACATCGTTCAATGTCACGTTTACAATTAGATTTTGATGCTGTTTTGATATCAAAGAATATAAGTGTAATAAAGTAATCGAGAGAATTAAAATTTGAACATTATGATAGTAAAATACGAGATTAAGACGTAAACAGCACATTAAAAGCAAAGAAACAAATTTTCCATATTAGTTAAATTCCCTAATTAAATATCAACATTTAGTTGTATATTCCCTTTAGACTAATTACGGGTAAGTCGCCACCCACCGGTTACACTGCAATATTATTTTTAAAAAAACAGAGAGACATATACTTTAAGAAAAACAGGTGTAGCGGCTTACGACATTTTCAAGATAAGTTTTTTTATATATACAAGTTCCTTTTGTCGTATACCTCCCAAATCTGCCTTTGGCCGGGTCTTTCGAACAATAACACTCGGACCATCGGTCTACCGAGCAATTCCACCCGCTCGGCGGAAGATCTTCCCTTTGTCGTATACCTCCCAAATCCGTCGTTGCTCGGATCTTGTGTTATTCACCACTAGTATCATAATATACATGTTTACCTAGTCCATAAATTATATCTATGCGAAATTTCGTCTAAATCCACTAAACCATTTTTGTGTGATTTTGTAGTAAACTAAAAAAAATATATATTTATAATATATACCTACTATAGTATAGTGTTATTATAAAATTAGTTTTGTATTCAATTGTAGGGATTTAAAAATACAACCCAAGAAACTAAAATTGTATATGAAAGTATTTCTGCAATAGTAGATCTACAAGCCAACAGTACGGTAACCTTTTTATTGTGGTCGACCCGAATTACATTTCCGACGCTAGCTAAGGGGCAACGCACAGTCGCCATCGCCTTAAACATGTCATGTCCTCCCGATCCACTCTCGATGCTTTTAGGTACTCCAAGCACCGGTCACCGTTTTTGTCGAACTCGTTGCACCTACCTACCTAGCCCATAGACTCAGCCCATTTAGTTTTTCGCCAGATCTTCTTAGTGGATCGCGATTCCGGTGGTAGATTCAACGAGGCATTGTTCTTGCTAGGGCTAGTGTTAGAAATTTCTCTCAGGCTGACCCCGTAAGCTCGCCTATCAAACTGCGGGTAGTTAGAATAGCCCTTCGAGGCTACCAGTAATTAGGTAAGGAATAAAATGACCTACAGACACTTTGTGCCTCGGCTTGAAAGCTGAGGGTGACTGTTGGTGACCGTATGTATCTGCTTGATACTATATTGTGATTGCTCTGCCAAGTTAAATATTTCAACAGCAGTGGCTGTTTCACAAATTAAAAACTGCTCACCATGCGAATGTAATGTCACTTATTTAAGAAGATAAACACAGAAGATAAAAACGTTAAAATATAGACAGAAATAGAGAATTACTAGCAAATTATTAAAATTTATATGTTTTATAAGATAAGTAAACAGAATATTGAACTGAAAATTAAGAAGAGAAAACAAAATACATTCCATGATAGCATTCGGATCAGACTTGTGACGCTTTTCAAATAATAAAAATATTCTTAATGACGCCTGCGCTGTGACCAGCGCTGTCTGAAGATGGTATTTGCGACCGAAGCGGTCAAGCGTGATGCGTTTTGTAAGCTAGTTTTGTACCTTGGTTTCTCTCGTTACGTGCAAATTACAAACTAAGAAATACAATATTGAGTTACAATTAAAATACACGTGCTACCGTTACGTGTTAGTTTGAGTTAAACATAATATGTACCTAACATAAAAACTGGTGAAGCAATAGCTTACATGTTGTTTCTGTTTACAGAGCAACTTAGTTTGTGCTATTGTTTTCGGTTAAAATGGGATAAACTTTCTTTTATGGTCCATAAAATAATAGATTATATGAATTATGTTCTATTTTCAAAGCATTGGCATCAGCACGGCCCACCGGTCGTGTTCTGGTTGTCCGGCTTCTATTTCCCGCAAGCCTTCCTGACGGCCGCCCAGCAGAGCTACGCACGGAAATATAAGATACCCATCGATCAACTCGCTTTTCATTACGCGGTTAGCCTTTTTCTGCTTGTCGTATAATAATGTAATGTTGCATTGTAATGTTATCATACAACGTTTAAAGTTATCTATATTGTACATACTTCATTTTAATGTTTTAAGTTTTACATATACATACATGAAAATAATTCTGTAAACTGCACTTTGCCCGTTTTTCCTGTGTTCGAAAAGCAGTTGTGTTCCTATTTTCACGGTGGAGTAAAGCAATTGAGATTTCGATTTGAAAGTTCGACAAGCGAAAGAACCCATAGACACAGCCCACTGAGTTTCTAGCCGGATTTTCTCAGTGAGTCGCGATTCTGATCCTTTGGTCGATTCTTGGAAGCACTGCGATGGAAGTTAAAGACTTGATCAAAGACCTACGTCCTCGCAAGGCTCCCGGTTCCGACGGTATATCCAACCGCGTTATTAAACTTCTACCCGTCCAACTCATCGTGATGTTGGCATCTATTTTCAATGCCGTAATGGCGAACTGTATCTTTCCCGCGGTGTGGAAAGAAGCGGACGTTATCGGCATACATAAACCCGGTAAACCAAAAAATCATCCGACGAGCTACCGCCCGATTAGCCTCCTCATGTCTCTAGGCAAACTGTATGAGCGTCTGCTCTACAAACGCCTCAGAGACTTCGTCTCATCCAAGGGCATTCTTATCGATGAACAATTCGGATTCCGTACAAATCACTCATGCGTTCAACAGGTGCACCGCCTCACGGAGCACATTCTTGTGGGGCTTAATCGACCAAAACCGTTATACACGGGAGCTCTCTTCTTCGACGTCGCAAAAGCGTTCGACAAAGTCTGGCACAA